GATTATGGAATCCCATTGGCTGCCTCATGTAAATACTTTCGCTTAGTACACCATTTAGGAACGCAGTAGAGACTTCCATTTGATGCAGGTGTAGATCTAGAACTGTCGATAGTGCGAGCAAAAGCCGCACAGACTCATACCGAGCTACTGGGGCAAATACTTCCTGGTAGTCAATGCCGTACAGCTGGATGTTCCCTTGGACTACCAACCGTGCATTAAATCGGTCAACTGTACCATCAGAATGGTACTTTACGTCGAACACCCAGTGACAACCGAGTGCTCGTCGCCCTTCTGGCAGAGGCACTAACTTCCATGTGCCGTTCTTTAGTAAGGCCTCAAACTCTGTCTTTATTGCGCACTCCCACTGCGCGGCATATTCGCTAGCCCGCACCTCCTTAATAGATCGCGGAATGGTAAAGTGTTTCTTACCAGTTGTAACATTATTTAACTGAGTGACATAATCTGTCAGTCTGACGTTACGCTTTCTTTTCCTCTTAGACCTCCGTCTGTCACCACTGACCCCATTTTCTGCTCCCACTATTCGGGATGTCGGTGGTCGCTGACGTTGAGGCTTCAACTTCGGTGGTCGCTTCAGCATCAGCGTCTGTTCAGGTCGCTTACCTAAATTCTGTATGACCTTTTCCTCTTCCAGATCCACGCTACTGTCTTCAGTAGGGAACGACCTTTGTATCATTGCCTCTGTACTTGTTGAGCTAAATTTAACGTCGCGACAGATTAGGTACTTATTTGCCTTGATGTCTAGCAGCCGATACCCCTTATATTTGGGTGTCAGCCCCAAAAGCTTACACTCGATTGCTCGATCACCGAGTTTTGGGTCTGTTCGCTTTGTTTTGGGTACTTCTTACGATGCAGTAATTCATACGGGGTCTTCATCCCGAGTCTGGCCATTGGTAGGCGGTTGGTGACATCTACAATATAGTTTAAGGCTTCAGGCCACCACTTAGCCGGCATATTGGCCCCTCTGAGTGAACAGCGAACACCAGCCATCATCGTCTGGTGCGCTCTTTCTGCACTCCCATTTTCTTCTTGTGACTCTACATTTGAACTTTGAAAGTCTAAACCGAGTTTAGAACACAATTTAGACACCTCTGAATATAGAAATTCAGAACCACCGTCGATTCTAACTAAGCCGTGCTAATGCACGGAGAAGCTCTGGATTTTATCATGTAGTTTGATTCTAGGTTTGATTCGAAGTTAATTTATCTTAAATGTGCCTAGCAGTTCTGCCCGAGGTTCTTTGGTTAGAGCGAAGTATCCTTAAATTTCAGCAGTTGGTGCTTTGTCTTTATTCGGGTTTGCTACCAAGTTCCGAAACCTTGAAAGCATGCACTGCCAACTATCTCAATCCCTTACGCAAGCATGTACTGGTCACTCGCTATGCCTTAGCTATCTTGCAATAATATGCAGCCAACGTTAAGGCTTGAATGCGGCGGTAACGGTACGTATGCACGTACAGAATGGTTGAAACGAGACCAGCATCGTTTGAAGACTTCAACGACACCCACGACTTTAAATTGAAGTCGTGGGTGTTCGTGGGTGTCGTTACATGACTTGAACGTGGCGACACCGATGTAACATCGTTGAACATACATGTACTGCAAACACAACTGTATTTATGTTTGGAGTCATGGTCGAGCGACATCAGATCGATCGTGTCACGCGAATGTCGACCCTAAAAGACTCAAGCAACACGCCGCTGGATAATATATTATCCAAGCGTTTATTAAAGTTAACGGGTACGTTCCGATACGTTAATGATTCGTTCGTTTATAACCGATAGCGGAGCATGCATTTTTATAGTGATTTGAACCTGCAGTCGTATCGCCCTAACAACTCTGGATAAAATCCAGAGAATTCTCTTAACCCACCGGCGACCGTTATCCCGATTTTGCAGGGGGAAAGTGCCGTTTCAAGCCATACGGCCGTGGCGACCTTTCGAGATCCCGTCGACTTGGTTCCTGCCAATCAAATTGCTTTGCGGATTTCGTGCGTGGTAGGTCGATTCGCGCGCGCGAACGCGTTCACGCCTCGATTGGGTGTCACGCGTGGTTTTACGTTTGAAAGTGCAACATGAGCGCCACATTTTAGCGCTTCAACCTAATGTAAATTTCTGAAAATTAGCGGGAGGTGGACCGCGCATTATCATAACCAGTAATGTGACCATAGCGTCGCTCGTGTATTAGACGCTCACAGGTCTTGGATATTTCATACTCCCGCTGTCGTCGTGTACAAGTACACTACAGAGGCTGCTACTACCGGTCTATGATATCGAACGGGCTGAAGGAAAATATGCTGCGCCAACAACGTCTCCTCAACGCGCTGCTGTAAATCCTATCTTTTCAGCGCGGGGTTCACCTGATCCTACTAACGCGGTACTTCGCCCCTGGCAGGTTATTTGAGATGACATCTCGACATGAAGAAAATGGAGATGTGTCTACATTGATTTCTGTAGGAGCTTCGCGAAGAAACGTTGAGACGTGACAGTATGTATCGGATTTTGTATGGTCAACCATGGCAATATGGCTTCGCGGTCTTGTCAACATTGACATGTTTGTATAGAGTTTAGTATAGAGGTGCCATGGTTGATTCAGAGATGTCGATATTGACATGTTTATCTAGATTTTAGTATAGAACGTTGATGTCGTTATTGACTTCGATAAGTCAATATTGAGATGTTTGTCTAGATTTGAATATAGCAATTCAAACGGCTTGATGTATTGCTCCGTTAATCTAATGTAAGCTAAAACTATCCTGAGCTCCGGTCGTCCGCCGATCTACGAGCCTCACTGGGAGCTATGACAGGCTGTCCATGTGGGGCTGATCGAGGCCCAAAAGCGCGTTGTACATGTCCAGCTTCTGAGCGACCGCGGGCATGCCGTCCACGCAAGGCCTCTAGAGAGGCGCGGGCATGCCGTCCGTGTCGTCCGTGTCGGGGGCCTAGGGCATGCCGTCCGTGTCGTCCGTGTCGGGGGCCTAGGGCATGCCGTCCGTGTCGTCCGTGTCGGGGGCCTAGGGCATGCCGTCCGTGTCGTCCGTGGCGTCGGTGCCGGGCATGTCGGGGGGCAGTCGGCATGGTGTCGGTGACGGGCATGTCCGGACCCGCGAGCATGCCGCCCCAGTAGACAGCAGCAATTTGGGTTCGGCAGAGGTCGGATGAGAGGACGCAGGGAGCCGGGCGCGATCACGACATTGTAGGCGCTTGAGTGCTTGTCGGCATTTTTAGAAATGAGCTTTCGATGCGGGGCGGCGGCGAGCTTTGGTTCCGTTCATATGCCCACGAAGACGCCTCTAGATTCCGAACCCAGGGGGGAAATTGTAAGCAAATCTATTGGTTATTTCAGGAGTAATTGGCGATCATTGGTGGAATCGTTTGAATACGTGCGATGATTGGTGGAATAGCTTGATGGCAGCAGGATGGCGCGAAAGGTGATGAAGATGTGCACGTTGAAGATTTGCGCGTTGAAGTGATAGCGTGACGTGCATAGCGTAGCTTAAGTGTGGAAGTCGTAAATGGCAGTAGTGCCACAAACTAAATTCTCCCGCATTTTCCTACCCTACAAGACGAGTCCATTTTGGCCGCAGTAGCGGCCACCGGCGGCACGAAATCACAGCCGCCTGGCGTCTTAGCTTTAGGACCGCGCTCACACCCATGTAGAAGATGTAGTAAGTGTATTCTAGGCCGCGGCGCTGGCTCCCCTCATGTCAGTGGCGCTGCCGGCGCCGCGATTCCTTCCTTTTTGCTACCTTACATAACTACCCATTTCGGCCGAGGTGCCGGACACTGGCGGCATGAAATCCTAGCAGCCGGCCTAAGTAGCTGTAGAACCTAGCTAAACATCAAGCCAAGGATGCAATGAAACTATTCTAGGCCGCAGCGCTGGCCGCGCTCGTGTTGGCAGCGCTGCCGGTACGGCGATACAAACATGTCAGTGTTGACGAGCCCGCGAAGCTACGTTGTCGTGGTTGGCCATACAAAATCCAATACGCATAGCCACGTGGCCACAATCACCATTACTTCGTGATATCACACTGAAATCCACAGATGCACGCTCATTCGGCAGAGTAGCCATATCATCGGAGCACCATTGATGTTGTTGTCGTCACGTAGGTCTCGCAGGGAACAGAGAGACCGAGTAGTAAACTAGTCCAAGCTTTTGATAGCGTGTTACCTTCGGTTCGGCATGTTTTGAAATCCACTTCAGCATGAAAGCGGCGCTCTCTAGCTCGTCTACCCTCCTGCAACGCATCCATCTACTTACGTTGGAGCTACGAATTTGGAAGGCGTCAAACTTGCATTTGGTGTGGAGCTACCCAAGCGGGCAAGATATCGTGCTGGCAAACATCAAGAGCTACAGTAGCCTGCCATCGAGCAGCGGAAGCATGAATCAACGCGCTGTGCACGAATGACAGAGGTGGATCTATGTACATCATATTTCAAGCCGCATCACGGACTCAGTGACTTCCTCACGTGCAGTACGTCTTCCTCATATTCGAACGGTCTTGTACGGCCACGGCTTCACCCACAGGATACAATAACACTCTAGATACTGAACGGATTGCTTATTGACCAGGATTCTGGGTATTATCTCTCTCACGCTGACAGACTATCACGACAGGCTTGCTGCCTCAGCGTCCGCATGCTCGTGAGGGACTGTCCCCGCCGCTGCCACACAGGGTCATCCCGAGCAGATTAAAATACGATGATACCAAATGTGAGTCTATCAAGTACTCTGCTCACGTATCACAACATTCTGGTTTGGATTCTCTACAGATGGAGATATCTCGATTTTTAGGGGAAAATAGGCCAAGGTTTTTTCCAGTTGAGTCTTGAACCAGCTAAGTATTACGCACATAGCCGGCATTTGATTGGATAACTCTGACCAATGAGATTGAAACCTAATGGAACCCAAAGGGTCGGCGCCAGCCGCTGGGGACCTCGCTTACCCTACCCCACAAGTATACAAATTTCTATATTAATCTTATCCCTGCAAAATCGGGATAAGAGCGGTCGCCGGTGGGTTAACCTTAAAAGGAAATTGCACTGACAAATTCTTTAACAAGTCCCGAATTTTGCCGGGAACTTCTTTCAGGGATTTTACCACAAAGTACCACTTATAAGCGGTAGCGTCATCTACAACGGACAGAGCATAGTGATAGCCAAATGAGCCATATAAACCATTCACCCGTAATTTACCAGTTGAGTCCATATGGAGTGTATGGAGTGGCTCAGTAGCCTTGGCTCCCACCATGTTCTTATAGGACATCCTTCTATCTTTCATTTGGGCGCATGTCTTACAAAAGAAATGAACCTTCTTCAGTTCAGAGTAAGGTATTTTTGGCAGCTCAGCAATTTTCTCGTTACTTAGTGTTCGAATTAATCGTTCTTTACCAACATGGCCGAGCCTCAAGTGCCATTATTTCAGGATATTGCCATATTTGTGGCTTTGGACACTAAACACACTCGTCCTTACGGGTTTAACGTTCGGTAAGTAATACACTTCACCTATAGCTACTGCTGCAAACAGTAACTTAAAGTTATTTCCTATGAAAAATAGGAAATCTCCAGATTTTGACTGGATGTGCCTGTAACCTTGCTTAGCCAAATAGTATGCACTTAGTAAATTACTGTCACATTTCCGGTCATATGAAATTTCCGTTAACTTTAACGCACTCAAATATCCTTCAGGGTTCAACATTTAGATTTATTGATCCCTTAAGTGCACTATGCGAAACAGTGCCATTACCGTAAGTGAAGACGTGACTTTGGTCGGGCTTCAGGCTTCCCGTGAACCAGCTTCGGTCTGATGTTATTCCTCGGCCTGCACCATGTCAACGACCCACATATCATCCGTTAACTTTAGGTTCCGTAAATAACTTAAATATGGCGAATGAAATTTACGTACCATGGCCTCGAATGCTTCCATGTCTTTTGGTGGCGGCGTCTCAGCCGACTTGCCTTCGTCCTGCTTCTCGGGGTCCAGGCTGTTGATGTCGTCCATCAATTGGTCCTCTTGGCTCTTCTCGAGCGTCGTCTTATCGTCCTTGCCGAGCTTCTTTTGTCTTTCAGCCACCACCGCCTTAAGAGTGTTGATCGCTGCCTTCTTGGCCTTCTTAGCGCCCGAGGCCGTCTTTATGTCCGTCCGGAAAAGAGGTCCCCCTTGGCGGTTCGGGTCCCTGTCGGCCGCTTTCGTGGGGCAGTCCGACTTGAAGTGTCCCGCTTCGAAACAATAGAAACAACTTCTGTCGCCCTCGGTACTGGCGAGCTTTCTTTTCTGTCCAACCACCTTGGCTCGGACGTTGTTGATGTGGGTCACCTGAGTCTTGTCCATAAGGCCCACGTCCTTCTTTGACTTGTCGCCGAAGACGCGGCGCAAAGCCCCCTCCACCTCGTCCACCGTGAAGCCCTCCTTGGTCATCGAGATGGAGGACGCCCAGTACTCGCTTGGCAGTTGCGACAGGACTTCGACGCAAAGCCAGGACTCGGACACCATGTCTTGGTTAAATAGCTTCCGAGTCTTCCTGTATCTCATTCCTTGCCTTCTTAAGTTGCGCGAATAGGGTCCTTAAGTCGCGCTAGGGGCTGCGTGTCAACTTATTCAGAGACCGTGTCAACTCCATCAGACCGGCCGCGTCACCTTGGCCAAAATCTTTTTCGAGGAGCCGGATCACCTCACATGGGCCCATGGAGGACACCACGTCCGGCAGTGTCGACAGAAAGCAATTGGGCAGAGCCTGATTGAGCAGGTTCCGCAGGTCGCCCCTTCCTCTCTTCCAGTGCGCCACGTCCCACCTCATCTCAAGCGCCTTTTGCTCGGAGGTTTCGGTGGTCGGCGCTGCTGGCTTCTCCGGATTACTCCGCAGGAAGTCGGCCATGAGCACCTTCGCTTCAGGCTGCCTCTTCTCAAGCAGCTTCGTCTGGTACTCATGGTCCAACGAGTTGACGTGCGTCAGGAGCTTGTCCTTCCACATGGTGCAGGACGAAGCGCTCCAGGCCGCCGCCAGTCTTAGCATCGGTAGTCGTCATCGTACTTGAAATGTTGCGTGCAGCATTAGTAGGTAGTTGTGTAGTTGCCGTCAGTTTCGGAAGTGATAGCAATGAAAGCCTGCTTCCTTCACATCCCTCGGCTTATCATATTGCTGCCAGCAGCGCTGGCTTCTTTCCCTTTGAATGGCTCTTAATGCCCTTTGTATTATCCAATCAGATGACCTAAAACATATCCTTTGATTCTTACTTCATTTCACTATAGCATACAATGCAGTAGTATATATGGCGCAACATGTCTGCGCGAGCGAGCGAATGCGAGCGCTGCAACCCGATTTTTTTTTCTAGCCACAGCGCCTGGCCGAGTCAGCGCAGCGGCGCCCCCCCCCAGCGAAGCGAGAGAGGGGCGGGCCCCCTGTGTCGAAGTCCGCAGTCGAGAGCGAACGCGCAAGTGTCCTACCCAAGGTACGTTTTCCCTCCTGAAATGCCCGACCAAAACGCCAGGTCTGACCCGTATCCGAACCGATAAATAGATAACCGATGTATGTGGTACCATAAGTAATACTTTTTTAAAAAAATGGTTACAATTTTTATTAAAGTACTGTACTGTGCATACAACACCAACTCGATGATTAGGGTAACTAACACCAACTTGATGATTAGGGTAACTAACATAATCGACGAATCCAGGGTCTGATGATCAGACTCTGATCGGCTCGGCTCGTGTTGCTACATGTATTTTGTCCTTTGCTGATATTTTTACCTCTATGTTAGAGTGCTAAAACAGACTTGAAAATAATTATAAATGACCTGACTGATTGTCTAATTTGCTAGCTAAAACCGCACCTAAATCTTAGCGCGCGGACAACAAGTATCTAATGCAGTCGATTTTGTTGGGTCCTCGCCTCGATGCCCGACGACTTTCCGTCTAGACGGATACGAGCCTTGAACAGCCTCCGACCTTGAGCGCCTCCTCCAACTTACCCACAACTAATCCGCTTGGAAACTCCAGACTCCTGACGGCTGGCGCAAGCGCAATATCGTAGCAATCGTCGATAGCTTCATGCGCGCATCATTTGGGTACTTGCCCGTCGAGACGCCGAACCGTTACGGGGGGGGGGGGGATCCTTTAACAGCTCCGATGCGTAAGTGGCCGCCGCAGCAACCGTATTATGAATATCTATGTATAAGATGCACTGAGCCTAAGTTTGCGTTGTTAGACAGAAAAGTCGGATTTGGCGGATAGATTTACTAATTGCAAGTCGAATAGTCTGAAAAGCTCTTCCAGGAAAGCATTTCAGAGAGGCCTCTGCGTATCTCCGGGTTTTCTGGACCGCAAATCAAAACCGAGTATCATTTCTAATCCATGCACCCACTGGTAACCATAATTATAACCGAGTTTTAGCTGGACAGCCGAGTCGTAATTAAGACTTAACTGCCCAGTATAACAGAGAATTGATAGCCTGATTTGAAGAAATATCTGCAAAGCACACTAATAAGTATAATATTATGATTCATAATTTATGAACGAACAAGCCCAAGAGGAATTTCCGTAAATCAGTTATTCTCGCTTGGCATCGTTAATTACACAACAATTTATAGCGTTTCGAGGCTGTTTGTTAGTGGCTCCTTAAGTAAATGTAGTTGCCTAAGAAAAATAGAGCCAAATGTTGTATCTGGATAGTAGCCACCCCGAAGTCCTCGCCTGGAAGTCAAGACAGGACACGTTTGGATACAATTAAATCCACAAACGTCTGTGGGACGATATGTACTGTCAATTACTCCATGGACTGCGCGGCAATCCTTGAGCGCTAGTACCTCTTTATGCTGCCTCATCGAGCAGGGTAATGATGTACGGCGTTGTTCGTGAAGCAGGGATCTCTACATAAACGTTGTCTGCTACGCTACATGTATTAGTACAACAGCATCAAGATAAGTAACAACTCACAGAATATTTGTTTTACTATAATAGCTGTAATCCAAGACGATAGTCGTCGCTTCCCGCATTCTCTAACGGAAATCCTTGATCTGGAGAGTAGCTTCAGAGCCATGTCTCCTGCTGGCACATACGTTGCACATTGTAAGTCCATTCCATTCCAAAGCGGCATTCAGCCATCACTTGTGAGGCAAAAGGTGCGATTTGTGAGCTACAATGAGGCCCAGCTGGATGCCCCACATATTTTCATCCCACGGAGCTTCTGACGGGATGGCAAAGTCGGCTGGCACCTCATCGTCTCCATAAGCTCCGCGGATATCTTCAGCAACGGGTCAATGCGCTCGTTCCACACTCGAGGCATCAGATTGACGTTAACACAGAGCTTGATCAATTTTTCCATGCTGCGTTCGTAATGTGTAAAGTGGTAGCCCTTGCATCGCACTTGCGTCAGTGTCATACCTGGTCTCCTCCCCCACACTCTCTGTGGCCATGGATCTTGCGAAGGAATGACAAATGTTAGAGACATTCTGCCATTCTTGTAAATCTCGGCATACACCTCCAGCGCTGGGACAATTATCTCATTCCACACTTCCTCCGTGCGGTCCCACACGACACCGTCAAGTACGTCCTTGTCGCGACCTGCTTGATGCCGGTTCCTAAGAGCATCTCCAGCGGTTGGTCTCAAACACGGTTTTATCCTAAAAGTAACGCTGTCAAGACTTGGCCGAGACGTAAGGCTTCCACCAGAAGGTCCTATTGCAGGCTTTAACTTCACCGGGACCTATAGATTGGCTTTCGAGTCTTGAAAGAAGACCACAATCTTATTACCACTCATACAAAACTAAAGAGTCGCCGTATTTAAAAGATTGCACCAATACTGAATGCAATTTTCACATGCGGGAATGGACTTATAAGACTCGCTTTAGAACTCACCGCTGGAAGTAAGTCGGTCTGCGCGGGTCTCAACTGTAAAATTGTGGTCTCAAAGATGTTACGTCTTAGGATAAGACCCACCGCTGGAGATGCCCTAACGGGAGCATGCTCGGATCATGATCCTGCTGATTGGTTGATTACAATACATATGTAGGGTTCAGTATGACCCCGTGATCTGAGCCTAAGAGCGTGAGCCACTTTCGGATCACGGATCACAAGTTGGGATTAACAACAGACACATACTAGCAAAGATGAAGGTGGCTCGGATTTTCGCGTGTGTCGCCGCGGTTGTGATAGCGAACGAATACAGGCGCCGAAAGCGCGCGAAAGTTGTTAAACGCGACCGCCTAGACTGGGAGCGACATCGGGATCGATTGGTGATGGAGGGGCAGTTTGAGCGACACTATAGGATGGGTGCGGACGAGGCGATGATGGAGGCTCTGAAACCTGCGCTAGAGCGAGACGAGGTCAAGTCGCAGAACCGGACGGGCGTTGGCATCATAACGCCGGCCAACAAAGTCCAGATGACGATTTCCTGATAGGCAGGAGGCTCCTACCATTTGTGGTGGTTGGCGAATCCACAACCTGTGTCCTAGCAAAGCTTAACTAGGCGCCACTACTGGATACCCATGATCGGGCTTGGGATTGGCTGCCTGGCTTTCCTGGGCTGCCAGCAATGGCAGCCTGCCATTGGCAGGTAAGGGCAGGCAGCAGATTAGTATCAGTTCTCAATTAGCATCCCAAGGAACAAGCAATACACGTTGTTCTTGGTGGGAGTTCCAGCTCCCAATCTACCGTGTTATACTTGCCTCAAGGTGCGACACGTCACACCATTCAATACGAGCTCTAGCTGGGGGTAGCAAGTCTGAGTTTTATACTACTGTCGTTGAAGTCATGGAGGCTATTTGCTCCAGCTCTCTGTTTCGAGTCGCGGCTCCTGTGTATGACCAGGAATCGATTCGTCGTGCAGCGTCTGAGTTTTCCGATATTAGCAAAAACAACATTTTGACTGGCTGTGTAGGCTGTGTAGATGGATGGCTATGTACAATTAAAGCTCCTTCTAGCCGTGAAGTCCCCGATGTATCGGCATTCTTTTCGGGCCATTATCTTCAACATGGAATTAACGTCCAAGCGATGTGCGATGCGGCGTGTCGGTTCACTGGTTATTGCTTCAATCCTCCGGGCAAAGTTGCTGACAGTGTGGCTTTAAAAAAGTGGAAGTTAAGCTTGGGCATAGCCAATCTGCCTTTGGGATATTACGTCATTGGAGACAACGCATATCTTTTGTCCTCTAGGGTCCTTGCTCCTTTTACCAAGCCGGAGATCAAGTCTACTGACTATTCCGACTACAACTTTTATTTATCTCAGCTACGTATTCAGACAGAGATGGCGTTTGGTCTTCTTGTGAACAAGTGGCAAATATTTAAGAGGCCACTTTCTGTCGATTTCGTGCATGCTGGACTCGTTATAAAAACATGTATTAATCTGAAGCTTCACAACTATTGTATAAACGAGCGTATTCGTCAGCCGGACAGTGGTGGTCTGACAAATGCAGCCGTGCGAGAATTTAATTCTATGGAGGACTGCAGTTTCTCGCCAACTGTAGTCGAGGACGACGAAGAAGTGGTGGTGCCAGTGATGAATGGTCATATATTCCGCAATGTAGTTCTTAACCATATTCAAAGCTACAATTTGTCGCGCCCTACTGTTCACCGCAGAAGATGATGGTAACACTAAATGACCATTACCTCATCCTGAAGCTCGTCCGATTTTGTTTGTGCACGCTGCACCCGCCGCAGAGCTGCCTCACGCTCAAGCTGGAGGTCCGCGACGCCCATCCCTAGTCGTGGATCTGCAAGTCGAGTATAGCAAGCGCTTGGCGACGACGAGCAAGAATTCCGTCCACCGCAGCTAGTTTTTCCACCAACACATCTCGCTCCATCTTTTCACGTTGAAGACGCGCTACCGCTGTTTTCTGCTCAAGCAACTCGCTTTTGGTACTCGCAGATTCGGCTTCAACCAGCTTACTCACTGCTTCCGTAAGATGCGCCACTGGATCAATACTACTTCTCATATTTTCCTGTGGCTGGCGCTTCCGGTTTTTTTTGTTTTATTCGCCCCTTCCTCCGTCTCCTTGGATTCGTCATCTTCGTTATCTTCGTAAATGAACGTAGCGCATAATTCACGACCAGAACCGCGGTGCTTGTACCAAAGGTGCACATACATAGCAACCTTATCTCCCTGGTAAAAGTTCCAAAATTCATCATGGGACTCAGAGAGCTGGCAACTTCCTTCTGCAGCAGCGAACCGACAACTGCACTCTTTCCACATATCCCTCACCTTTGCTCCAGAATGTGTTGTAATTTGGCTAGGATCGATCCCTTCAAACAATGCCTCATCAGAAACGAGGCTGTCAAAGTCTTCATTCAATGTATTGAAGGCTTCAGCAACTTCTTCCCAGAACCTACGACCACCTTCATCCAGTTATCGCCGCGTCAACGTGCCCCCAGAAGACACAAAGCTCGCAAAAATACTTCGGAGAAGTGAACGTTCAGTTGTCGGTACAAACCATGACGAGATCGCCTCTCAGCGCTACTCTTCCCTTCCCTGCGGCCTCGTTTAGCAGCGCGTTGATGCTCAAGAAGCAGCTCCATAGCTTTTTTGGACCCATCGTACCCGTGGAATATGGCCACTCGGTCCGCCTTGCTAGTGTTTTTCGCTACCGAGAGTCTACGCACGGTGCACTCTAGCTTCAATTGATCGACTGTCCAACTGCTGTAGTCGTCCGACGTAGGGGAAGGCACGGGCCGCTTGCTGCCTAGTTTCAGCTGAGCCGACCACTTGATGCTAACTCGCGCTTCACCACCCGATACTGCCTCCATCGTGGAGGGTGCTGCGCCCGCTGCAACCGCTACGAGAGCTGCTGCGGAAGTTTGTTTTTGTGATCCGTTGGGTCACGATCTCGTTAGGAAGGAAAAACTGCTAGTCCGAATATAGCCTCACCCCTAAGTAGATCATGATCCAGTGTGATCCCGTTAGGAGCCGGCCTGTTGCGCATAGTTACCACCGAAACGGATTTGAACAACCATCTTTCCCAGTTTCATCCCCCACGCCCTCTCAGGCCATGGAGGAGACGATGGCACTACGAAAGACCACGGGATAGCGCAGTGACCGAACTCTCGACGGAACACTTGAAGTGACGGCAAGATCTTCTCCTCCCAGTCTCCGTCGTAGATGGACTTGTCGAAGCATAAACTCATTCTGTCCAGCTCTTCCTTGCATTCAGCCACTTGGGAGGAAAACTTTGTTGGTAGCGACTGCGTGTCCAAGCCGGTAACCAGGGCACCCGAGAATGCAATTCTTGGATTAATACTTTTCTATTCTGAGCAGAAATTAATAATTAAATCTTTTGTGAATCCAAAATAATATTTATATAATTAGTAAAGGCTTCTGGTCCAAGTAAACGAGTAATGCTCCAACTGTGAACCCTGTTAGTCTTTCGTTCTTATGCCTTCGGTGAGCTAGAAGACTCAGAAGGCTAGCTAAACCTGTATTTCTTAGACTTAAGTTGCGAGGAACTGATAAGAATTCTAACAAAAATCAGCTCTTTCAAGAAATTAATCATTCAATTTTAAAAATCGAATGTATTTTTATGAAGATTATTTTTTCGGGTGCCCTGCCGGTAACCCCAGCTTCGGCCACGCCTCATCGCCCGCAGGGACGACAAAGGCTTGCGGAACGTCCACGTGGCCGTGCATTTTCCAGTATTGTCGTAACCCCGGCAGGATGATATGATCCCACTTGAAGTGAGTCACGTTCACCGCGAAGCCCAACTTGTCCAGCTCCTCTTTCATCTCAGCAGAAACGGGCGTCTTGTCCTCCAACTTGGTCCGGAGTGTGTTAACAGCACGTCCTAATTTGGCACTCCCTAAGATCAGCCACCACGCGTTTTGACAAAACTTTACTCCGTCACAAATTTACATTTGTGAATTTTAATCTTGACGTAAACTGGGTAGTGTTTGCGGATGCCCTGCACGAGGCCGTCAAGGTACTGGCACTTCGGGACAGTGCCGTTGAAGTACCAGGACTTCCACAGGTACATGTCCAGGTACTGGTCCAGGCGCTCCTTGGGGACGCCGCGCATAGCCTTGATGTAGCGCTTCACGCGCACTTCCCACGTCCCTTCAATGCGGTTCGTATGGGCCCCCGTCTTGGGGTCCACGAAGAACTTGTCGTGGTTGACCCATTTGTGGGTGTAGTTCTTGCCCTTTAGCCACTTGTTGTTCTCCAACGTATGCTTCCCGTTAACAGAAACAAACGAGGAGAACTGGTCGGAGATGATGGTCGACCCGGCCATAATATGCTTGTAGATGAGAGGAGACAGCGTCTTCTTTTTGCGGTCGGGGCCGGTGATGATGACGAACCACCGCCCCGTGGCCCGATCGACACCGCCGAAGAGCCAGTAGTCCTCGTGCGGCTGCCCCTCGTGCTGCTTGCCGCGCCCGAACTTGGACTTCTTCTTTAGGCTCGTCTCGTCGATCTCGACGGTGTGGCCCACACCGCCGATCTGTACAAACATAGTTAGCACATATGCAGTCGAATATTAGATGTACGTACCATCATGCTGCACTGCAGCATCTCGGCGGAGTAGATGTCGCCGCAGAAGCCGTACCAGTCGATCGCCGTGACGTCGGAGATGCCCAGGAACTGCTCCGCGGTTCCGACGGGGATGTCCGACCCCCAGAAGAACATCAGGCGTAGCACAGTTGCGGTACGCTAGCTTGGTGCCGTCGAAGAAGGAACCTTTCTTCAGGCTGAGCTCTTTGTCCGGGTGGCTCCTTGGGCGCGGCGCTCTGGATGCGCACGCGCTCCGACCGTGATGCGCGCTTGCGTGGCGCGTGTGCAGGGCGCGAAATCGTCTTCGAGGATGGTTTCTTGGCTGGGGCCATGGTGCGTTACGTGTCTTGAGGCGGGGACTCTTTTTCGAAAGTGATAGTGTTTGTGTTGTGGCGGCATCGCCGTGGGCGCGAAAAGTGGGGCGCTCCTCGGGTTCACACGTGTACGCGCGCAACGCAAACTGATACATGGGTGTACTTAATATGTAATTTGTGTCGGACCAAAGTTTTTTAAAAAGCGTAGTGGGGGCTGATCTTAGGGAGTGTCCCTAATTTGTATCCCCAGATCTTGGACGGCCAGCGTGCATCTCGATCAGGGACCACTAACCTCTGAGGCACAAGAAGTACGTGCAACTCTCTATACGCCCGCAGCGCTGCTACAAGCTCCTTCTCCCAAACAGACATTCCCAAGCACCCGTCGGCCCCCTTTGTGCCATTTTTGACAACTGCACTCGAGCCGGTCCGTTCTTCCGATTGCGTGGAGCTGAAGCGTCGAAGAGTGCGAGCAGAACGCAGGCTTGATGCGCTTGTGGGGGCTGCCTGGAGAGGCCGCGCGAGACGCCACGCTCGCCGCGCTGAACCGAGTTTGAATTTAGGTCTGTAGAGTATCAGATTTGTACACATCAAGATATTCAATTATCTAGGAAAAACGTAGGACGCCTATCCAACATCATAGGCCTGGCTACTATTGGCTAAAATTAAGGTGTATTTGGCCAATACCATCAAGTTCACCTCTTGTGCAAAGTGTTGAGGCGAAGAGCTCACACAGGTCGGCTTATCGTAGTAGTTGTACACAAGACCAGTGTGCCATAAACATTCGCAGGTCACCTCTAGAGCTTCCAGGGCTCGCACTTCGATAGCAACGCACTCTTGTGGACTCTATCGTACGGAAATTGCGTAAGTCACCACTAACTACTGAACAGTATCGGGGACTACAGCCGCAACAAAGATGATGCTGCTATAGTCCCCTCCCACCCACCCCTACTGCGTCTGCCAGACGCCGCCACGGCGGCGGTGGCCTAGCGCTGTGATCTCCCCTCCTCGTAATACTGTAAAGTAGTGTAGCCCTACACTCCTAAACGACATGCACTCTAATGGCTACCACTAATCACTGCTACCAGGGTTGCCGAGATCCAGCCGCTACCGAGGTCGCCGCGACTGCGATTCGGCACCTGCGCCAGCCGCGAGCCGCCATCATGATGCTGCCGCTTTGTAGCGCAGCTTCCCGCAGGCAGGAACTCCCTAGTAGCAAGAGTGTTGTATAGGCAGCAATGACTGCTTCCCACCCGTATTTATAATAATCTAGCCTTACAGTGTTGCCGTACTCATATTAGTATGTAGTGGACAACTCATTAGGACAATTTCACGAAGTGTGAGAAGGCCCCCGGCACTCCCACTGCCACGCCTCCGGCACTACCATCACGGGCCAAACGGCCATAGCAATATACACATTACCTAGCAACCAACCGAGGGAATTCCTACATATTCGCAACACAGCTACCTTCAGCCCTTGCTGCTGCTCCTGGGGCACATCGGGGCTTGTGTCGTCGGGCGCGGCAGAAGCCCGATGCCTTGTGACGTGATCAGGACCCAGCACTGTGGTTCCTTTGAAGCTACTGAGTTACTAGGAGCAGTTGGAAGGCCCAGGTGGACTGGGCCAGGTCTAGCTGTACATATAGGTGATTGACACTGTTGCATTATTAGGCCAATCGCGTGCGCTGTTTTATCGTAGGAATCGCTCGCTACGAAAGTCAATTCATTGTGCATTTTCAAGTCGTAAAATAAAGCAGTGACCAGCTGAGCGTGCCATTAATATTTTTGACGAAAACACCGTCGATTTTCCTACGAGTCCATACAAAGTGCGAGATATCGCCTACGTTTCGACGGCAATCAGGTTTAGCGGCACATTATTATTAATACTTGATTCAACCGATGCCGAACTGCCAGAATCAATGCGTCAAATGGGTGACTGGTACGTGGGTAAGGATACATAGTACAAGTATAATGACAGACAACGCAGCGCTGGTGTGGTGCAGTGTTGAAGCTCAACCGGGCAGGACTCTTGCTTGCTGCCGTCGAGCGGAGGGCCAGCGCAAACTGGTGTGGGCTTCAATGTGGTTTTGAGTTTTGGGATCTTTGGGCAGAGCCATTCGCTCATTTGGCAACGACTGCATGATCACTGGTTGACTACATGTAGTTCCGACTCGCTGCCAATAGAGCGACTTCCAGCTAGGCCCTTCAGACCGTTGTCCTGCGTTTTCTGTTGCAAATTCATAGACACACCTTTAGAGAAAACTGTCCGATAGTTCTGCCTCCTGTTAGAAAAATCGGCACGGGAGTTCTTCGCAGCTTTTCCAACCTCAACAAGCCTGTACAACGCTCTACTTCGGGTCAGGGCGTGTTCAAACAGGTCCGGCAAAGTAACTCAACAAGTTGTGCGCCAAATCGACCGCTGGTTTCACTTTTTTATGTCTTTAAGCGCACCAAGTCAAAGCCGAGGCGTTGTTAAAGCTTATTCGAGGCTTCAACTGGGGGTTGCTAGCCAACAATGAATCCAAGCCGAACACCCCACACCTTCTGCTCCCATGGCGCCTCGGACGGGATCACAAAGTCGTATGGGACTTCTTTCTCCCCGTTCAGCTCCGCGTAAATGTCCAGTAGAGGAACGACGCACTTGTTCCACGCGCGAGACGTCAGCTTGATGTACATGCTGTTGTGCGCTGCGCGCAATTCGAGCAGCATTTTCTAAAATTGTTTTGTTGAAGCGCGAGAGTTAGGGCACCTGGGATATGATCGATTTTGATTTGAGTTGGCCGCGCGCCAACTTTCAAAATGGGGGATGTGATATTGTGAGTTCTACTCTAATTTTCCGATCGGGGGAATCGCCAAAGCACTTGGGTTGACTATGGTCGCCCGGCTATGCCCCCCTTGACTCCCTACTAAGTACGGATTGGGCTTGACATGCGGGCACATAACCATATATTTGTTGGCCGGCGATTCGGCAAATGACTTGATCTTTGTATTGGTCGGTTGGACAGGGCCCCATAACCGACCCGATTCGGCAAATTTGGCCGGAATTCACAATAATCACACCCGTTAAAGTCCGATTATTTCCGCGTAAGTACGAATTTTAGCATGATTGTGTCTAGTTTTGTAATTTCGTAAATAGTTTAAAGCCAGTGCGAGTCGATTTGATGAGTGAATAATGTATATGTTAGGTCCGCGGTAACGTAGTCGAGATGACAGGTCTATGCTGTAGGTGCGTAAAGCGTGACGAACTCACCGACAGGACTCTCCGTTAGAGGACGGAGAATGCATCCGGGCGCGCGCTCGCTCACCGACACCGAGGGACAAGCGGTACACTGCGGGGCGTGCTCGCTCGTCATGCCTGGGCCCCACGCAGCGTCGGAACAACACGCCTGGCGAAAAAGCTCGTGGAGGCTCCACGGTGGAGCTCCGAGCATGCAGCCCCGCCCGCCACAGCGCAAACGCTGACCGCCCGGTCCACGTGAGCCACCCCACAATGCTGCGAGCTGTCCGCGTGGACATGTAGGTCCGCGCCTGCCGCCATCTCTACCGACACTCACAATCACGGGCGCAATCGGCCTGCCGCCAACACAAAAACTCGCCTTGCACTGCAAGGCGGAGCCTGCAAGTTGCAGGCTCCGCATTTCGACGATCCGGCAAGCCAAAGCGCGGCCTCGGCGCGTGGCTCTTGCAGCGTGTTCCGGCCTTGGCCACTGCTTGCGCGACCAGCTGGCCTGCATGCTCGCGCACCGAGCTCCCGCACCAGAACGCGGATGCCGCCGCGGATGGGATGCCCCCCGCCAGCATGCATCCAAACAAAATGTTTATTACATGTACAGTAATCTGCCCGAGTAAGGAACGCCTGATATATAGAAAGAGGCAGAATATACATATTGATGTTAAGTTGAGTATACTTTTCCAATGTACTGATTTAGTAATTTCAATATGAACTGAAGAGCAGCTTTACCTACGAGTCCGGAATGATTCCAACAGTGGCGTATGGTCGAAGCACTAACCTTTGACCAGGCATCCTCGCACCACAACAGCGCTGTCAACTGGTCGACCTCGTAGGGATTATCTAGCCCTTCACCTTGTCGAGGATGCCCACTTTCTCAGACCAAGTGAGGCGGAGACGCTTGGACGGTGTGGACTTCATGGGTGGAGTGGGGGGAGGAGGTGGGCTTGTGGGGCGAGGTGCAAAAGAAAAAGTGCGAGTCTACCACTACGATACATGTAGTTTGAAGTCTAGTAAGATTGCAAAATGCGCGCCATTTTTCAAACGAGGGTGGATGATTGGTACTGGATTTTTCACCTCAGTACCTTGCAGTACCTTGTACATCCCCCTTTCGCCACATCCACTGGAAAATAATATTAAATATGTGAGGCTATTAGTTATACACCCGTTCCTTATTCGGGCAGAATTCTGTACTGCATTTGTTGGCTCGCTTTGATTGATCCGGGGCGGGCGGACGACCGTCAAATGATCGACCGATCGACTTCAGTTTGCGCGTCACGCGTCCCGTTCAACGTTGAAGCGGCAGCGACGCGACTAAAGGCGCGGTTTGACACGCAGTGCAAGGGAAATCACCCCCGGGCTACAGAGGGTTTACGTCGACGAAAGGAGCTTCGTGTCTTCAGGTCTGGGGCTTCTCTTCTCCTCCCCCGTGTCATCTCCTTCGTTGCAAGACCGTGGTGGCGAAGGAGGCCACGGTTCGGTGGACGGTGGCGCGTTGCAGGATGCAACTCGCAGCAGCATACTGTGTCAAGGCTTGCCCAGGAATACATGCAGTGCATGTCATGCACACGCACAGTAGTGCCAGGTTCGGAGAGTCGCACGAGCTCGGATTGGACATCCGACTGGGGGCTCGAGCGTAGCATGTTGTTCCGTTGTTTGACATGTACGCGGCGATGCATGGAGAAGGGGAAGTCCCGTACGACTTCGTGATCCCGTCGGAGGATCCGTGGGAAGAAAAGATGTGGGGTATTCGACTGGGACTCCGCGTGGCGCTAAACTCACAGTTCTCACTTCGCAAGTGACAACCAGGTAAATAGAGCTCGTCAACATTGGTTTCATTGTTAAAATACTCTAAGCTCCTACTGTATATTGCCATGTTGCTCCTCAAACTGTAATTCGTGTCAATGCCATCTGCATTAACCGAAAAAAAGAAGTCTGCCGCAATTTAGTGCACGTAAGCATCGATCTACCAGGTATAACTAAGCTAACCTAGTGCGGTAGCTGATGCTACATGTACACCATCTTGGAGTATCCTAGCATGTTTGTTTAATAGATGCTATGGTTTGAGCAAACCTGTATCATACAGCGTTTTCAGCACGATTGATGCATAGCATCGATCACCGATATTGGCATTCTTCGATGCTGGTGCGCAGTATCCGGTCGGGCTTTCAAATACCAAGTACCTACCTTCATCTACGAAACGAGCGTGTTGCTTTCAAGGGAAGCGGCCAATTCCAGATATTTATTTACATGACTGCACTCAATCGTTTAGAATGCAGAATACGGTGGGGGGTGGCTGCTAGAGCAACGTTGGCGCTAGTGTTGCCGCAATATCTCTCGTTGCCTGCGCGCCAACACCTACCTGTAGATGGCCGAATTGAAGTCTTGCAGCCTCCTTGCGCGCATGTCGATGCCCTCAGCTCAAATCGAGACTGCTCTTCCCAAACCTCCGATTGAGCTTCACGCTCACTCAATTCCGAGCTCGTGCGACGCTCGGAACCCGGCACTACTGTGCATGTGCATGTACTCCTGGGCAAGCCTTGACACAGTATGCTGCTGCGAGTTGCATCCTGCAACGCGCCACCGTCCACCGAACCGTGGCCTCCTTCGCCACCACGGTCTTGCAACGAAGGAGATGACACGGGGGAGGAGAAGAGAAGCCCCAGACCTGAAGACACGAAGCTCCTTTCGTCGACGTAAACCCTCTGTAGCCCGGGGGTGATTTCCCTTGCACTGCGTGTCAAACCGCGCCTTTAGTCGCGTCGCTGCCGCTTCAACGTTGAACGGGACGCGTGACGCGCAAACTGAAGTCGATCGGTCGATCATTTGACGGTCGTCCGCCCGCCCCGGATCAATCAAAGCGAGCCAACAAATGCAGTACAGAATTCTGCCCGAATAAGGAACGGGTGTATAACTAATAGCCTCACATATTTAATATTATTTTCCAGTGGATGTGGCGAAAGGGGGATGTACAAGGTACTGCAAGGTACTGAGGTGAAAAATCCAGTACCAATCATCCACCCTCGTTTGAAAAATGGCGCGCATTTTGCAATCTTACTAGACTTCAAACTACATGTATCGTAGTGGTAGACTCGCACTTTTTCTTTTGCACCTCGCCCCACAAGCCCACCTCCTCCCCCCACTCCACCCATGAAGTCCACACCGTCCAAGCGTCTCCGCCTCACTTGGTCTGAGAAAGTGGGCATCCTCGACAAGGTGAAGGGCTAGATAATCCCTACGAGGTCGACCAGTTGACAGCGCTGTTGTGGTGCGAGGATGCCTGGTCAAAGGTTAGTGCTTCGACCATACGCCACTGTTGGAATCATTCCGGACTCGTAGGTAAAGCTGCTCTTCAGTTCATATTGAAATTACTAAATCAGTACATTGGAAAAGTATACTCAACTTAACATCAATATGTATATTCTGCCTCTTTCTATATATCAGGCGTTCCTTACTCGGGCAGATTACTGTACATGTAATAAACATTTTGTTTGGATGCATGCTGGCGGGGGGCATCCCATCCGCGGCGGCATCCGCGTTCTGGTGCGGGAGCTCGGTGCGCGAGCATGCAGGCCAGCTGGTCGCGCAAGCAGTGGCCAAGGCCGGAACACGCTGCAAGAGCCACGCGCCGAGGCCGCGCTTTGGCTTGCCGGATCGTCGAAATGCGGAGCCTGCAACTTGCAGGCTCCGCCTTGCAGTGCAAGGCGAGTTTTTGTGTTGGCGGCAGGCCGATTGCGCCCGTGATTGTGAGTGTCGGTAGAGATGGCGGCAGGCGCGGACCTACATGTCCACGCGGACAGCTCGCAGCATTGTGGGGTGGCTCACGTGGACCGGGCGGTCAGCGTTTGCGCTGTGGCGGGCGGGGCTGCATGCTCGGAGCTCCACCGTGGAGCCTCCACGAGCTTTTTCGCCAGGCGTGTTGTTCCGACGCTGCGTGGGGCCCAGGCATGACGAGCGAGCACGCCCCGCAGTGTACCGCTTGTCCCTCGGTGTCGGTGAGCGAGCGCGCGCCCGCCACCAAGCGAGCGAGTCGATGGTGGATGCAATGCATCCGATGCATATTGCACGCAGACGCAGACTGCGACACGAGCCTTCACAAGTAAGCGTGTGGGGCCAACAGCAGCGACGGCGGCGGCGCAGTTCGTCTGCTGCGTGTGGCCTCCTGTTGAAGCACCCAAGCACCAAAACTGCAGGTACCGTAACGAACGGGATGGGCGTGCGAGCCCGAAACCGCTCCGAGTGGCGAAACTAGTTGCACCCCCAGTTGCCGCCCAGGATAGCGCTCAGCGAGCGAGTGATGACGAGAACGCCGGCTCGAGGGCGAGCGCGTAGCACGCAGTGGATAGATAGCCCCGGAAGAGCGGCACTGCGGCGCACTGCCGAGCAGCGACCGGAGCTCGGAAATGAACGCTAAAAGGATGAAGCGGAGCCGCGTCCTTTCCCGGCCCCTCACGCCGCGCTCCTTGAAGTGCGGAGCCAATCACGCCGGCTAAAAGTTAAAAACGCGAGCCCAGCGACGCCAACGGCGACATCCCGTTGAAACCTTCATCGCCACGCACAAAACGGCCGCGGTCTGCACTAGGGCGAAGGCAGAGCGGCGCATGGCGCCCCATGCTGCGACCCGCACAGCACAGGTCTCACTTGGCGCCGCCAAGTGGGCATTTCTGCTTGGGGATGCCCCGCTCAAGGGCCTTTCTCTTGTCCATGGGCTTCAGCCGGCACATTTTATTTCCAACGGCAGGCCCCGATACTTTTTGAAGTGCTCGAGCCTTGCTTGCTAACCGCGATCCTTCACAGCCGTTGAGTCCAATGCATGCGGCTGTTCACAGCGCGCCCACGAGCGGAGGCAAACACCGGCAGCGGCTGGCGGTCTGGCGAAACACGGGCTCCGCTAATCGAGCCTCAACACGGCTTTCGTCATCGCTCGACACGCAACAAGAGCCGCCCGCCGAGCGTCAAGGCCGAGCGTTAAGGCCGTTCTGGTGTTGAGCTCTCTTGTGTATTGCCGACTGAAAGAGGGGTCTCCTCCAGTATAAGCGGCGACCGCAGCATCTCGGCCGGCTGTTTGGACTCTACAGCCAGAAATAGCACCCGGTCGCAACAAGTTCAACTTAGCTCGCGTTTCAGCCAATGGGAATCCAGTTCCCGTCGAAAACGATACTTCTCGAATTTGTTATCGGCTTCAACAGGAAAGAGGATGGGGTTCCTTTTTCTGACACTCGCGTCTCTCGCCGCGCTCACTTCATTCGCGAATTTGCCTCGAAGCGCGCACTGCTCCGACCGAAGCCCAACAGCCCCCACCAAGACACCACCCACACTCTTCACCACCACGATGGAGTTCGCCCGCCGCTTTTCCCACACGAGCGAGATGCTCCAGGCCACGACGTCTAAGGACGCGCGGCAGCCCATGGGCCTGCACGTGGACACGGGCTCCAGCCGCAGCCCCAAGGGCCCCCAGGAGCCGCAGCAGGACTCGAGCCCCGCGGCCAGCCCCATCCTCGGCCCGCGCTCGGCGCCGTCGTCCACGCACCACGAGGACGCGATGCGGCGCCGCCGCAGCCACTCGGAGTGTCTGCTGCTCGCCAAGACGCACGGCTCGCAGGACCTGCCCGGCCCGTGCGCCGAGTACATCAGCAACGTGAAGCAGATCCTGGCGCGCAACGACGACCAGCTCATGCAGCTGAAGCGGCGCCGCAGCATGAACCTCAGCCACCCCTCGCTGTTCAAGTAAACCGCGTATCCACTCTCCGCGAACGAAAAGAGGTCCAGCCGACGCACACACACACACAGCGAAGCCAGCTGAGCTGCCTTTGGTCGCACGTCCACGACGTTATTTTATAAGCAAGGAATCGAGCCGTTGTATTTAATACCGAGAACAGTATACTCTTCCGTCCTGAGCCCGCACACACTCCGCCTCACTTTGTTGAGTCGACTGATTGATTGATGAGGTGTTACTACTACGCTAATCGTTGCTGCGTGGACAGCAGGGGCACCGCTATCTTGCCCTCCTGCAGTGCGCAGATGGGCAGGCGACAGAGCTCGCACTCGTAGAGCTCCCAGGAGTCAGACGAGGGCGAGTCCGCGTCCGCCGGCTTCCCGCGGCGCTGCAGGCCGCGCACGAGTTGCATCTCGTGGGGCTCCGTCGCCGCGCGCACTCCTCCGGCCGCCTCCTTGCCCGAGAGCCGCGGGGTCGCGCCCGCGGCGTCCCCCGGTACTTTACTCGCTCGACGCTTTAGCACGCCGAAGCGGGACACGCGGCGCTCGCTGCCGCTTCCGGTGCCGTCCGCGGGGATGCTGCGGGTCGACTCGCTGCTGATCCCGCGGCCAAGAGGAGGAGCTCCAGAGCCGGAGGAAGACCAGCGGAACGCCAGACCGTCCCCTCTGCTAACGGAGACCGAGTCCAAAGAGACCCAACGCACCTCCTGGCCGCGCCTGGCGCAAGACTCCATCGGGTGCACGAGCTGCTCCTCGCAGTCGTCGTGCGCGAACATGCAGTCCACGGGGAACACTTCGTCGTCCGCGTCTTGGTCGCTGTCGTCCCCGACTGGGAACGGGTGGAAGCTCGGACACTCGCCGCCGTTCTTGTCGCTAGCCTTGCACGCGCAGCGCTGGGCTGCGAGCGCCTCGCTCATGGCGGAGGACTCGACGCTGAAGACGCTACTGCCACAGCGACACTGCACCATACTTGACGTCGCCGTGCCCTCAACCAGGGGCGTCGAGTACGACAGGAAGTGCTGCAGGAACTCGAGGCGCGGGTAGTCGAAGAACTGCGCGCAGTCGCGCGCGAACCGGCTCAAGATCTCGAACGGCGTCATGCCCAGCGCACTGCGCAGGAAGAAGAGCAGCATGCCGGTGAGCACGTGCTGCAGCTCCGTGGTGTCCTCCGCGTCCCGCCCCAAGACGACGAACACGACGCAGCCGGCCTCTTCTCGCAGCCGTCGCTGGAGCACGGGGAAGTAGAGCGGCGCGTGATGCACGAGCTGCTGGAACAAGTGCACGTCCGCCGTGAGCTGCGTCTCGACGCTGGTCTTCAGGTGCGGGTTGAGCAGGAAGACGCTGCGGTGCTCGTCCTCGTACAGCTCCTCGACCAAGCTCTCGTGCGCGTCGGGCCCGCCTGGAGGCGTGGAGCTGTCGTGCCACGCCAAGTAGACGAAGTGGACGAAGTCGCCCTCGTGCTTGGCCTCGAACGCCTCCATGGCGAGGACGTCCTTGCTCACGGGCCCGTGGCCACTCCCCACGCAGCTCGTCACCGCTCGACGATCCTGCGCTCTGGTGATGTGAGCGGCCAGGAAGAAGTTCCAGAAGAACCGGACGGGGACAGTCACGCCGTTCGCCTCCGGTCGGCGGCTGCGTGGTGCTGCGCTGACGAACGGCCGAAGAGTTGATGCCAGTGAGCGATGGGCGTCTGCAGCCGCTGAGGCTGAAGTCTCGCCGCCTGACTGGTAGAGGCTGATGATGAAGGACTCGTCGCTCGCGGTCACCGGCAGCTCGTACACGTCGTTGATCACCTTGCGGACATGCTTGGCGATGGCTTCCAGACTCGGTCTCTTGCGGGCGTCTCGGGTCAAGATCTTGCCGCAGAGTTCAGTCAAGGCTGTCACCACTTCCTCCTCCTCGGGGCTGGAAGGTTTCAGCGTATCAAACACCTTTTGCTTGTGGTCCGAGCGGAAGACAGCCTGGTCTTGGGTGACGACGAGGTGCGCGTACAGACCTGCCCAGTCATCTACAAGCAACAAGGTGTCAGTCAGCGTCGTGGGGTGAGTCACAGGTGGCCGTACCGTTCTGGAAGAGCAGCTCCCGCGTCACCAGTTCGTACAAAAGGCACCCTAGAGACCAGATATCGCTGGCGAGGGTGACCTTCACCTCGACGTCTTCGCTGCCTTTGATCATCAAGACCTCGGGGCTCTTGATAGCCTCGGTGCCTCGTGTTCGAGACAAGTACATGAACTTCTCAGTCCTCTGGACGGCAACGGGGGACGCACACCCCGATGTGAAGGACGAGAACGTGAACGTCCGCACTGGCAACTGGTGCGAGTCGACGAGCTTGGACTCGCCGAAGTCGGCGATGCACAACCAGGCCTTGAACTCCCTGCTCGAGGCGTCGTCGTCGTCGTCGTGTTCGTCCTCGTTTTCGAGCAGCCTTCGACTCAACTCCCGTGCGCTGGAGCGGACTAAAATGTTGTCACTCTACAAGATCACGTCAATGTTATCACTTCTGATGTGATCCAAGTAGTGTATACTACCCTTACCTTGATGTCGAAGTGGCAGACTCCTGCTTGGTGTATGCGAGAGAGACACTGACAGGCCTCTTCGAACGCCCGAAGGATCATCACCAAGCACGTTCGGAATGGCGCTTCACCGCCCGACCGGTCGATTGTAGCTCTCCAGTCAGTCAGCGAGCACGGGCAGTACTCCATGACAATCTCAAAGGTTTGTTCCGCGTGATGATTGCCGAAGTCCACGAGTTGAGTAGCCGCTAGATCCCCACGAAGCTTCGACAAGATGGATACTTCGTTGTAGACCCCACTCAAAGAGCACAACTCCCCCGGTCGCCTCTGGTGCTCGACTACTTTGATAGCGACAGCTTCAGGTCGAGGTAGAGCGGGGTGCTGCTTATACACCGTCGAAAACGCCCCCTTTGCGATGTACTCTCGCGAATGTTTGCTCGATACGAGCAGTGCACTATCCGACTTGGTTTGCGTCGTGTACATGTTGCGGTCGAAGCGATTCGGACACAGCAGACGCAACATCAAGCGGATAGCAGACAGCCGCGCAGTGGAAACAAAAGCTTGCAGTGTCTCCATCTCCAACGTCAGAGCCTCGAAGTACCGTTGGTCCATTTCCACAGCCACCAAATGCTGCTGCAACGTCCACAGCAGTTCATTTGGTCTACTACTCGTGGCTGTATCGTGCTCTGGAACAGACACGCGGGGGCAGATTTTCTCGTCTATCTCCAAGTTGGGGTCTATGATGACGAAGGAGACCAGCAGCACGACAGCCAAGGCGTGAAGTCCGGGCTCCAGTAGCAAAAAGTGCTGAGCGAACGGAACATCCACAGAATTTGGCGTGGCTAGAGTCAATTTAGCGATTCCAGACTGGCTGCCGAATGAGCCGAATGAATCGGTCGAGCCGAGCTGGCGTGGAAGCTTCAAGGGTGGTAAACACGTAACTGGAGTGGCGACCTCGACATATTCTGTCGCTGTACCAGTCGTTTCCGGTTGCGAGGGCGTCTGGGTCTGTAGCCACTTCACGATGGTCGCGACCACGTGAGCGTGGTTGAAAGCTTCTTGGATGGCAGGGAATTGAGACCTCCGACTCGCTAACACGACCAAACACCGGAAATGCAGTTCCGCTGCTCGATAGACCATGTATTTCTCCTCTTGGGCCGCGTTCTTAACGATACGCTCGAAATACCCCGCAATGTGACGCATATGACTGGCAACGCAGATGTCATAGTCCACTGAAGACGCCACGTCTTGAGCCGTATACAGTGCTTGTTGCAACTGCAGAAAGGATTCTTTCATCTGAAAGTGCCCCCTTGCTATGGTTGTAAGCAGTGTTGGCGGCGTCGTCACTGATCGAAATGATACAGCGAGGCTGAGCATGCGTGACGAGCCACTGACAGCGCTAACTCCATTACTTGGAAAGAATAATCCGAGGATAAAGTCCCACAAGTTTTGGTCATTTTGCTCTCCATCGTCAGTCATCACCCGAGGACCTAATAACCGGATCAGTAGTTCTCCTTTGAGCTGCTCGATGACCTCTTGATCTTCAGGCATGCTGCCGTCCTCACACGGTTTAGTATTTCTAGAACTCCACTCAGTTTGAACGGGTAAAGCCACGTCCAAATTCACGAAAGCACCCAGGAAACCTATGGCAAACTTTTGGATGCACACGGCGTCGCGGCCACCGTTTAGACATAATGTGTTGGTCGATAGGGCAAAGCGAAGAAGTGACATTATTGACGAGCAGTCCATGCCCAGCACCCGAACGAGAATTGTTTGGATATCTGGATCGCTAATCCTCTTCATAATTACTGCAAATACTTGAAAACTTTCGTGGATATGACGAACGTATTGTAGTTGTTTCGCCATCGGTATCGGGGTCTGTTTAATGACACAATTCAGACCATCCAGTACCTGCAGTAATTCTTTCAAAGAGAGCACAATCCATTCATCCAAGAAAGCCCTCGGAATCCACCGAAAGACCTCCACCATAGCAATGAGGAAGCGCTCGTCGACCTCGTCAATCTGGTCGTCTCCTTCTGCTTCCGCTTCTTCCGCGTGCCCGTCAGCGCTGCTGGCTTCGCCTTTCAATCGCTCGTTAAATTCACGAAGCTTTGTCCGGAACGAATTTATAAAACCCGCATACTTCTTGTCGCCGGTGGCCGAACTAACCTCGCGCCTTCGCTTCCTTTCCAGTCGAAACAACGTCGACACACACGCAATTACGACGCGGAGCTCACATGTGAGTGCGTCTCTTGCATTAACGTCCTGGATGTGGGATTGGCGGCGCACTATACTGATAACCTCGTTGAAAAGGTGCTGGTACAAATCTTCCAAGCGAAGCAAGAGTGCGACGTCCCGGTCCCAGCTCGAGAACGCGGTCTTGTTGTACAAGAAGCGAAGCGAAAGCTGCAGCAGAAGCTCGTACATGATCATCTTTGGCGATGATCTCAAGGCCCTGCGCACACATGGGGTGAATTTTGGTGCCGGCTGGCCGTAGAATGACACGGATCGAGACCGTAGCTCATCAGGATGCTGTTTGCTACAGCAACAGAACGAAATCCTCGCTAGCACTGCGTCACTGGTCCAAATATCTGGAAACAAAAACTGACTTTCACGTAGTCGCGCTCCAAGATCCACCTGTACCGACATCGGACTGAGGTGGAAGAATGCAAGCGCCTTTGAGCTTAGAAACGGCGTAGCTGATGGATTTGTTCCCAGAGATAACGACTTCCGCGACTTGGTTTGAGTCTTTCGTGATAATCCAAATAACAGCGGTTTGCGATCTCCTTTTCCGTGGAGAGCGTTAATAACACTTGTAGACGAAGAAGCAAGGGCTCGAAAAGACCGTATAGCTGATCTGCTCCGGGAATCGGACGCTCCGTCCTTATCGGCATCGTTGTGGTGCAGGTTCTTCCAGAGAGTTGTGATGCCCTGGTTGCGCAAGAATAATCGTAGGAAAACAGGGAATAAAGCCACGAGATCTCGAATGAAGTCGACCAACTCGGAAGGGAGGCGGATTCGAGCTCCGAGCAGTTGACAGAGTTGGTGAGTCAAGCGACAAATGACCGAGTCATCGCTTCTCGCAGTCATAAAGAGGGTGTCGAAGCGCATGGCGTACGAGAATTGCGCCAGGATCTGTCGCTTTCTGCTCTCAGTAGCTGCAGCCGCAACGTCCATTTGCTCAACAGAGCTGTTCTTCTCGGAAAAGGCTGCAGAAGCGATCAGTATTTCCACGAGAATGGGGATGATACGCCCCACCAACTTCATTTTCTGCGCCGACCACGGTGCAGGTTTAGCAGGCGGATTCGCACCAGCATTCGCCGCCACGTCCGTGAAATGGACGTGCATCTCGCAGATAACATTCACGAATGTTTCAGGCAGCGACTCGTGCGGCATAACGGCACCACACGCAGCCTCAGCCGCACTCAAGATACTGAGCTCTTTGTCGTTAGAGCTGAGGTCGATACAATTCTGGAGAGAGACTTGCTGTGACGGGATGGTCGTGTTAACGGAAGTCTCTTTGAGGATTACTTGGTCGGGCGACATGAAATTATCCCGGATAGCGGAGAACCTGCAACTCTTTTCATTAGTATACACAGCGGTTAGGCAACCAAAAGCGCTAACACTTACGTGAAGTATGGTTCGAACGTTCTTTTGGCCGAGAACGAAGTCGACAACAGCAGCGCCGACGGCTTCAACGTTCCATCGGCAACTGTGATCGCAAACTTGTTGAAATCGAACTCGACTTGGCGAACTTGGATCACTGCGCTCGAGGACGAATCTGGGCCAGTACTGTTCGAAGCTAGAATGTAGAACCCACACGCCTCAGGCATCAGAGCAACTGAATAGCCTGCGGGGATCATGGACGAGTTCCAGTCTTCTAGCTTGGTGTCCTCGTCAAGGTACGGCTCGCAGCACAGCTCAAACACGACAGCCTGCACCTGCGGTAAGAAGCGCTTCCAGCAGTGCTCCACGAGGTAGTACGCCTCCGAAGTCAGACGCAAGGTGTGAACGGGGGTCTGCATCAGTACGTCGATATCTTTCTTGCGCAACTTTGCCAACTGAATCGCGTCGTCATTCTTCTTGACGTCTTTGCCCTTCACCAGCGTCAGAGCTCGTACGGCCTGTCGAAACTTGACGTACACCGTGATCGCCGCGTCCTCTTCTTTCACCAGCAAATATGTTCCCGGTGGCTGGCTGGGTAGTGAAGCCATTGCAGCATCACAACTCGGAGCCAGAACCGCAACAAAACGGTGATCTTTTTGAGTTCTCGCTGTCGATATTGGCTCGGAGTCGTCGTGCCCGGCGTCTCCATTAGGCGGACGGTAGGCAGCAGCACTCTGGTCCTCTGATTTGTCGCTAAGCACCACGACAACGGCCCCGACTGCCAACTCCTCCTCCTCGCGGTTGCTGCCGCGTCGAGACAGCATCCGCGAGCGCTCCGACATGGAGGGGGCTGCACGGGGTGCCACACTCATGGCTCAGAGCTGGGCGCAATCCCTCGGTACTAAAGGAAAACAATGTTCGCAGCTAGTCGCGGCTTACAGCAATGCAGCGGTTACGATGGTTACGATGGTGAGAGGGTGCGTGCAGCTTCCAAACCTGAAGTTGAAGTGATGTCGGTGACGATTGGCTCAAAGTGCTCAACCTGAATTATTCTAGCCTTTTTTGTATTGATCAAATTGAACGTTCCAAATTAGCAATACAGATCTAATTTAGATACGACATCTGTGATGTCTGTGGTACTGTACATGTACAATGCTGCGGTTACCGGTAACAGCGCGTCGGGCGTGGCGTCTAGCGCGGCCCCTGCATGTTCCGCCCGCGGGCAACTGCTCAGCTGCAGGACTGCACTCCGCTCAGGCCCCTCGAAACTTCAGCTCGACGAGGTCAGAAGAACAGACTGGCTCGGGACACGCCCTCACAAATTGCACAGAGACGGAGGGGTACTGGGGGCGTCCACATGGGAGAAGAGGATGCTGGCATCGCTGCGGACGTACAAGCAATTGAAGGGGGGCCTGCTTGTGCCAACTTCGTTCGTGATTCCTGCTGGCGACAAACGCTGGCCGTCGATGACCTGGGGACACAAATTAGGACGCGCTGTGAGCGGTGTGCGCACGAGGCTCGCGGACAAGGCGTCTCTTTCCACTGAGATGAGGGGAGCTGGACAAATTGGGCTTCGCGGCGAACTCGTCTCAGTTTAAATGGGAAAACATCGTCCTGCCGGCTTTGTGCAAATTTCGAAAGGTGCACGGCCACGCAGATGTCCCTCAAGGGTTCGTAGTCCCAAGCGGCGATGGCGCGTGGCCGAGGTTGGCCTGGGGCTATGGACTGGGAAACGCGGCTACGAAAATTCGTTGGGAGGAAGGGTTCTCTGCTCAAGTGGCCATGTCGACGGCGGAACTTAACCAGATGGGGTTTTGCTACGGCATGTCCAGTTCCGAGACGGGAAGATCTTGCCGTCGATTCGAGTGTATCGACAAGAGTTTGGGGACTGCAGGGTTCCGACTTCTTTCGTTGTGCCATCGTCTCCTCCATGGCCGGAGAAGGCGTGGGGGCTACGGCTTGGCAGCGTTGCTCGCGACATCCGAAGCAAAACTCATTATCGCGAGCATGTGGCTCGAGACAAGGACGTGCTTGACGCTGTCGGTTTCGTGTGGAGCTGGAGTGATGCAGAGTGGAAAGAGGCCGTCATTCCTGTCCTTGAAGTCTATGGCGAGCTTTACCAAAATTGCAACACCCCAAGCACGTTTATTGTCCCTTCGGAAGATCCCTGGGCAAGGAAAGCGTGGACCAAGAGACTAGGTAAAATACTTGCTCAAGTGCGATCGAGGGGGTCCTATTTCCCACAGTATGGCCGGGATATCGATAAGTTGGACGAGCTTGGATGGAACCTCAAGCTGTCGGTCCGAGTGTGGAACAAGTGCGTCATTCCATTGCTGAATACCTATGCGGAGCTGCACGGGGAAGAGGAAGTCCCAGCTGACTTCGTGATTCCGTCGGAAGCTCCGTGGGATGAAAATATGTGGGGCGTTCGACTGGGGCTCATCGTGGCTTGCAACTTGCAGTTTGTATCTCACAAGCGATGAGTATAACCCCAATCCAGCAATGTTTTAGTCTTGTTGTGTTAAAATTGAACTCGGTCGTTTGCATTTTTTTGGTGTTACGTAGGTGGGCCAGAGAAGTACGTTGTCAGGGTAAACAAAAGATCATATTATGGTGTGATCTCATTTGTTGGCTGATGTTGCGTTCGGTGTACGTAAGTGGCATGGATGCTTAGATTGCTTGTGTTTGGACGACATTGGGCGACATGCAGATCTACAGTACAACGAGATCTACATGTCAATTTTGTAAGCAATAGGAAGTACTTCGAGGTGTAGTAAATACAATAACTTTTATTGTGCGTTGGTGCTACTCCCTTCGGCTGTGACCGCTGCATTGGCGCATGAACCCGTCGACGCCGAATCCGGCAGCGCTATGTGGTTCCACTGTGAATCACAGCGAGCGAGGCGAACGCGCTGATAGTCGAGGCTGCTGGCCTCATATGTACGAAGCTCGTTGACAGGCATTTTTGCGGCTGCCTACCGAGGCAGCCAGCGGGAGACGATTGCATGCATATCTATCTAGATATACAGATCTAAATCCAATGTGATTGGCTCTAATATTTCCCGATTCTATTTCTAATGTGATTGGCTCTAGTACCCTTCCAAATCGCTTGGTGCGCGCAATGCTGCGTCGAGCGTGGCGTCCAGCGCGGCCACTTCATGACGTTCCTGCGAGCGTCTGCACAGGTCCAAAACTCCTCCGTCGTCTTGCTCTCCGGTGCTCCAGCTCATCGCTGTCAGAAGGACCGACCGGCTCAGCTGACGTTGTCGAAAATGTCAAAAAGGAGGCAAAAGTTCACCAGCGGACGGCTGCGTGGGAGGAGAGGATTCTGCCAGCACTGCGGACGTATCGACACCTCCACCGGGACCTCCTCGTGCCACGGTCATTCGTGGTTCCTGCTGGAGACGAACGTTGGCCGTCGGTGACGTGGGGGTTCAAATTAGGAAATGCTGTGAGGAATCTACGCGTCAAGATAGAGACCAAGTCGCGCCTTCCAGTTGGAATGGAAGAGGAGCTGAAGAATCTGGGCTTCGTGGCGAACGTGAACCAGTTCAAATGGGATAATATCGTCCTGCCAGCGTTGTGGCAATATCGGAAAATACACGGCCACGCAGATGTCCCTCAAGGGTTCGTCGTCCCAAGCGGTGATGAGGCGTGGCCAAGGCTGGCCTGGGGCCATCGGCTGGGGCGAGTGGTCTCGGACATTCGCAATAGAAAAACGTTTTCCTCTCAAGTGGCAGCGTCTAAGGCGGAGCTCGATGAGATCGGTATCTGCTACGACATGTTGCTCGCCGATCGCGACTGGAAGGAGAAGATCTTGCCGTCGTTTCAAGTGTGTCGACAAGAGTTTGGCAACTGCCTCATTCCAAAAGTATTCACAGTGCCCTCTTCTGCTCCATGGCCAGAAAAGGCTTGGACTATGCCGCTTGGGGTTGTTGTTCGTGAGATTCGAAGCGGTGCAAATTACGTGGAGCAAGTGACTCGAGACAAAGAGGTGCTGGATGCTATCGATTTTGTATGGAACCGTGACGATGCAGTGTGGAGTGAGGTCATTCTTCCAGCTCTTCAAGTGTACGGCGAGGTGTACAAGACGGATATAGTTCCGTACCGATTTGTGGTTCCTTCGGAAGACCCTTGGCCAAGAAAGTCGTGGGGAACGAAGCTCGGTGTGATACTCTCCCAGGTAAGATCCATGGGAACGTACTTCGCACACTACGGACGTGACGTCGAGAAATTGGACGAGCTCGGATTGGTCGTGCGCAATTTCGAATTACTGTTACTAAGTACTGTACGCCATGCACCAAGAGCAATAACGCGTTATAAATCCAAATGAAAGATGCAGAGTAGGCAAAACGTAGAATAGTAGTGACACTGGCAACGCATGCAGCTTTCAAAATAAATGCGCGCTGCTACCCTAGATACGTGTACCGTAAACTACTGCAGCATTCACATAATGCAGCTTAGTGTAGACATTGTCGTTAGAGCAATATATATATGAAGCTATTGGTCGGACCCCGGGGTCCCGCATCATGTACCGATGGCGACCGGAATTATTTATTTTTATCGGCGGGGCAGTGATAATATATATGTTGTGACAATTTTGTGATAATTTTTCGAGTTTAGCTAGAGCTCATTTCACCTTCAAGTGTGGTGTAGCAGACGTGCCAAAACTCGTTAGCTTCCCACACCCACACCAACAACACCTACACTAACGGGAGCGCAGGCTTGTCAGGTGATCCGAAGATCGCCCAGTCCGTTTACAGCGGTGCAGTGGTTACCCAGGCACCTGCCATACGTCCCAGGAGCCGTGCCACGAGCACACAGCACGCTCCCTTCCTTCGCCGACCTCTCCTTGTCGCTTCTTCTCTTTCTCCTTCTCTCCTTGACCCGTGCCCTCCACCAAAGGTTGGACGGCGGCTCTCGCCTTTTACGGGGCGCCGATGCAAAACCGCACCGGCTGAGTCGGGGGCGGGCCGAAAACCCGCGCTCGTACGCTCGACGAGCTCTTCGCCAGGGGCGGAATCCAGATAACCACTACACGCACTCGCTCTTGGACTCGCCGGGCGGCCGAGAACACTTCCGTCACTTCAGAGAGCCGATCTCAGCGGTGGTCATGATCTAGCCCCACGGGGGCGGTCGTACCTTGAAGAGACGCCGCGTGCCGCTTGTTTAGGACCTCGAAAATTCCACTCTGTATTTATCTTTGCTTTGTTGGGCTCAAAGGCCCTTTCCTGGGGTTCCTATACAAGTATCTAATGAAAATGGGCTGTTACGGCCTCTCAATACTAAAACCAAGTCTGCTCGCTCGCCGACTCTTCGCTCGACGACCCTTGAGATCTTTGGGATCTAGCGTCGGCGAAACTCCTCCAGTCGGTGTCTGGTGTACACACTCGGTCCGGACTGACTGCAACCACCGACCTGCGGACTCAGAAATCGCTATACCACAACCCTCCTGATCGGGACCCGAACCTTGCCGGCGAGTGTCCTGATCATCACTCTGGACAGCGATTTTCTTCTCTCCATCAAACGCCAACTGTCGGATTGCTGAGCACTTCTTCGCCGACACCATGGGCGATGCTGCGTGCGACGCCGTGCACCATCCGTAAGTCTTCCCGGCGCTCGTCATCTTGCCCGTCGACCTGTCTGCTAACACGTCGTTGCATCGCTCTGAACACTGCGTAACAGGCTGCGGTCGACTTGACGTCAAGCCTGCCCCCAGCAACTACCTCACGCCGTTCCGTTGATGCTTCCCCAGCGGCGACACTGGACGATGGAGCTTCGCTTCATGTGAAAGTTGAGAACCTCCACGCTTCATCCGTATCGGATGACCCGTCGTCGGTTCCTGCCTCGTCGGGTGCTGGATCTGGGGCGTCGGTGGGACGACCGCTGACTCTCGCTGGCTTGGAGTGTGTTCTCGAGCTGCGCGACAATCGGATGGAGTTCACGATGGCCGAGCGAGAGACCAAGATGTGCAAGCTGCTTGCGTACTTGTTCGCCAAGCCACCGGTGGATCCATCGCCTGAGCTGTATCGTCGACTCCAGAACGCGTCGTCAATCGACGAGTTGCTGCCAGCGCTTGAAGGCCAGGTCGTCGATGGACCTCAACCTGCTGCAGTCGCTGGCGAGAAAGCTGCGGAAGCCTTTGCTGAACGCACGCGCGCTGACCTCCTGCAGCACAACCTCTGTGAAGCAGCCAAGGAGATCGCCGCCCTCCGCGAGGCAGCTGCGACATCCGATGCGCTGGCTCGCTCACTCAAGGAGGAGGCGGCTCGCGTTAACGACTCGAGCAACGAAGGGCAGCTCAGCATGCAGCTGCTGGACACTGAGCGGAAGAGCTTCCTCGCCGAGAAGCAGCTTCTGGAAGCCACAATCCGAGACAAGGATCGGCTTATTGCTGCCCAAGTCGACGATTATAGGCGGAACGCTGGGAATCGTCAGCTGGTGATCGGCCGTTGCTATGAGCTCTCCACTCAGTCGGCTCAGTTGTCGGACACCATCCTTAAGGGGAGATGGGTCTGCGCACCAGTGGCTCAAGCGTCAGCTCGCTGACAAGGACCACACTATCCGGACCTTTACTCGCTGCAAGAAATTCACATCCTTGGTCAGCGGATTCCAGAAGCAGAGCCCCTTCCTGGCAGCCGCAGCTATGCACGGTAAGTCGGGTGGTGTCTTCATGAATCTCGGTGCTCCCTTCGTCACTCATCGAACTTGTTGCGTTGTAGGTCAACCGATGCCTGGCTTGGAAGCCGATCAGCTGGAGGCATTTCGTGACGCCAGCAACTTGCTTCGTCAAGCTGGCTTGGGTGTGTTCGGTGAGGTGGAGCAGCACGTGCAGAATCCGTCTCCGACACCGACTGCCCCGCCACCAAGCCGTCCTGTGCGTTCATCGGCCAGGGCCACCACTCGTGCCTCAACTTAAAGTCGTACACCTTCGTCGAGCCGTGGCCGATCTCGCTCGCCGAGTCAAGCTACTCCTGCGGCTGACCGCCGTCTCCGGGCTCGGTCGTCGAGCGTAGGTCAGTACTTGACCAGGGCTAGTCGTTCGCTGAGCTTTTCCGCTCGTAGCGTTTCCTCACCGACTGCGTCTTCGCGTAGTCTCCCTTCGTCGGTTTCAGCTCCTTCGGCGAGCAATCGCTCACGCTCACCATCGCCTGTTGTCGTTGGTTCCAAGCGCCGTCGTTCCCGTGACCCCAGACGACGAGTCAGCACAGTCAACCGAGGCTCCAGCTTCTAGCAGTTCGCCGACTTCGCCCAAGAAACCAAAGAAGAGACGGATGGCTCGTTGATCTCGTATCCAGGAGGCTCGGCAAGCGGAGTTGGCGAAGCAAGGCTCTGCACCTGCTCCCAAGAAGCAGCGCTCATCGAACAAGAAGAGTCGGTCACCGAGTCCCGCGAGCGAGGGTTCGCTGACTGAGGAGAAAGCTCCAGTGCCTGCTGCTGCTGAGCATTCTACTGGGCTGGTCGGCTCAACCCCTTCGCCTTCTTCCCGGTACCCTCAGCGAGCGGCCAAGTTGAACGCCACGGTTATCCAGCGGGAGGTTCATGCTCAGGAGTCTGACAACGACTCGGAGGTGCTCGGCGAAGCACCCGTCGTTCTGTCTGTCGATGACGCTCCTGCGGGTATTCTATCCACTCCTGTTGGTTCGTCGATGCCTTCTACTGAGGAAGCTGTCACCTCTGGAGTTACCGAAGAGGTGGGCGAGACACTGGAGGATCCAGTTGCTGTTGAGAGCTCACCTGGCGGCTTTACGTCTCGGGTTCCAGCCAAATCTCCTGCTCCTTCGTCGGCGTCTGAGGCTCCTACCGAGGAGTTGTATTCTTCAGCGCCCGCCACTCCCGTGGTCGGCGAGACTTCCCCGGCGACGCAACTCGAGGCGACTTCTACTCTAGCATCGCTGAGCTCTGAGGCTCCACCCACACTTACAACGAGCTCTGTCATGATCCGGGTCCTGCCTCCTGGTAAGCATCCTGCTTGGAGTCCGGGGAGTCCGGACGAAGACGACGACGCTGGAGATAGCGACAGCGATCACGATGTTGGTTCGGCGGGAGGTAGCCCTGCTACAACTTCTCCCAACTTGCCGGGCCAGCCAGCCGCACCTCCGGGCAAGCCTGACGCTGACTCTGAATCCAAAGATGGCGACCAACAGCAAGCTTCACCTGGTTCTCAATTACCCGACCCGAGTTCGACCACTGCTGCCAGCTCTGTCGTAGCCGATCATGGAGATGAAGACTCAAGCTCCGCTGAGTCGGCGCTAAAGAGCACGATGGATTCCACCGGCAAGGCTCCTGTCATGCCTGCAGGACCGTCCAAGAAGGTTCCGGTCAAGACTGCTTCCGCTCCAGCGAGCAAGAAGAAAAAGAGCTCGGCGAAGGTGGTCAAGTCGGCGAAGTCAGCTTCTCTTTCCTCCTCATCCGCCGCTAAAACTCCGGTGGGCGAATCTAAGCCTGAGATTGTGAGGGTCAAGCTCGAGGGTGGACCTCCTCCTCACTTGGTGGACGTGAAAACCCTCGTGCAGCGTGCGTCGAACGCGACCAGTCGGGACTCTCGCGAGTCGAAGTACATGAAGCGGCTCCGTTCACTTCCGTTCTTCCACAAGGCTTCGCGTCGCTGCTGGGAGAAGATATTTGCGTCGTGTGTGCCGATTGCGGTCACTGAGAAGACGGCTGACGGTGTTCGAATCCAGCCTACGCCCATCAGCTTGACTGGCCTTCACGCTTTCGCTAAGGTTGACGACCCCAACCACCCTTGGCGGGCGATTTTCCGGCTTCTTCCTAGGAGCATGGTCTTCGTTGACGACACAGTGCTCAATGTGTTCCCTCCCGTGGAGAAAGGAAAGAGATCGCGGAAAGCAGGGACGGTCCTGGAAGCGTTAAGTCTCGCTTTATGTCGGTCTCGTGGCGTCGTTCGTTGGGACCTTCTCTTGGCGCCCTGGGAAAGAATGCACTGGATCTTCGAGTCCAGCGTCTACATCTGGCTCGCCGAGGCATGGTTGGCCTCCCAGCAGACTGCCGAACTCGACGAGGAGTTCACCCAGCTGTGGTTGAAGTTGAAGGAGTATATCCACGAACGTAAGCAACGTTCCGATCTTCTGCGGTTGGCGATGAAGAAATACGGGGACGCCTTCATGGAGGCTGTGTCCCACGAGATCGATGGTAGTCCTGCACCGTTGTTGGACACTGAAGTGTGCTTCGATCCGGCCGTCCCATTCTGTCCGTTGGTAAACCTCCCGTGGTTCCCCAAGACGAAGAACTGGGTCGCCGAGGTTAATCATATCGACGGTAACGAGCCGTGGCGAAACTGGTGGCTGACTACTCCTGGCCGTCACCCCTACAACACGATCTTTCGCCCAGCGCACCCGGATTTCCCGCTGTTCGTTCCTGCTGGAGCTGATCCAGAAATCGTCCAGCTCGTAGGTGAGGCTGAACGGGAAGTCATCGAGCCAGTGCCACCTGTGCTCCACCCGAATACCAGGGCTCCAGCGAATCGTCCAACTCTGGCTGACTTCCTGCCGCCGAACGTCATTCAGCTGCCTGATTTTCATTCGTAGCCCAAGTCGCGCGAAACACTTGTCGAGCTTCACATAGCGTCGAGACGTAGTTTAGTTGGAGGCTCTTTGCATACCGTAGTTCCGTTGTTTTCTTTTCCGCGCGGCCACATTTCCATATCAATCAAATCAAATCAAATCATGCAGTTGTTGGTACAGTCGAGATACACTCGACGAGGGCCTGTACATCACCCTCGCCGAGGTCAATATGTGACACAGTAACATCAATCCCTTGATCGGCGACCTGTGTCCATCGCCGAGGGATACTTTGCGCAGTTGCTAGTCTTCGTCAGCAACTTGAACCATCTTGAAGCGGTTCTCGCGCTTGCGCTGGAGGAGATAGTCGAATAGTAGTCCTCCGCACGATAAATTCGATACTGGTTCCCAAGTCGGCTCATCGTATCCTTGCCACTGGACGTAGAACTCTCGCTGGGTCCGCTCCGTGCCTGTCGAAATTGGCCATCGGTCGTCGAGGATAGCTTCGACGATGTACTTGTCACCGTCTCCTTCCGGCTCCCAGCTGTCCTCCGGCAGAAGTTCCTCATCGAAATCAAACCTCTCATCCTCGCCGAGTCCGTCGATCAGCTCTGCAGTCGGTCTGCGGTCATCTTCGCTCACTGCCTTGAGTCTGGACACGTGCACCACAGGATGGAAGCGGTAACCGGCCTTGTCAGGTAGTTCTAGCTCGTAGGCAAACTCCTCCACCTCCCGCTTGATGCGGAAAGGGCCATGCCACCTGTGAGCGAGCTTCTTGGTCAAGCCGGGCTTCACGCGCTCCATAAACAACCATACCCGGCTTCCTGGCTGGAACAGTGAGCGATGGACTGGTTTTCCTGTTGATTCGTCGACCGTTGCTTTGCCAGGATCGCCACGTTCGTCGAGCGGTACAGCAAGCCTTTCGATTCTTCCTAGGACTTCGTTGTGTTCTTTCGCTCGCCGAGCCTTTTCGGTGGCTTGGTAGTGTTTCGCCATTGCCAGAGCAATTTCGTGTTGTCGGTTGGCCTCGCGTCTCCAGGCTGCATCGTCCGTCTGATCACCATCGCCGAGCCTCAACGAGCTTGTCATTGCCTTGAGTGTCGATTGGGCATCCCATCCGTGGACGAGGTAGAAGGGTGTCTCCTTCCTCGTTGTGTCCATCGAATTATTGATCGCGTACACCATCTTCTCAGCGATCTCGTCCCAGTTCTGCTGGAGTGGGTCTTCGACGTACACGTTCACGGCTTGGATCACCGACTTGACCGACCGCTCCTGCTGACTGTTCGCTTGGGGCCGGTAGCTGAGCGTCGCTCTAGACCTCGACTGGATCAGCTCGAGAAATGCCTTGAAGGTCTCACTCATGAAGCGTGGATCGCGATCGTGTCGTATCATCGAGGGGGCACCAAAGCGTCGGAACACATATTCCTCGAAAACATCTGCAACGTCTTGTGCCTTGGTGCTGCTCATGGCTTTGGCGATAACGTAGCCAGTGAAGGAACACTGGAACAGCAACAGAGACGTGTTGCCTCGCCGAGTCTTCGGCAGCGGCGTCACGAAGTTCATCGATACCAGCTGGAACGGGCGGTCGGCGAGCACATTGCCCGGCGAATACCCCTTCAATTGGGGTTTGCCCTTGCTGGTACTGCAGTCTGCGCATGCGCGCACATGGCGAGCCACCGTGGCGTACAGTCCAATTCAGTAGTAATATTTCTTGACCCGGTGGAACGTGCGCGTTATCCCTTGATACCCTCCTTCGATCGAGTCGTGACAACTCTGCAGGACTTCTTCAACCATCGTCGCCGGTATCACCAGTCTCAACTGAGGTTCCGGCTCGCCTCCCTCGTCGAGCTTGCGTCCCTTACCCACATAGTGTAGCACGTCGTCTTCGTCCAGGACGAATCGGTCGGCGAGTTTGCTCGCATTGGCCGCCCTTTTGAAGTCGAGGGACTCAATGTCACCCCGGAGGTAGGCTTTCAAGTCGGCCCGCCTCCTTTCTTCGTCTTGGGCAATGCGGACTCGCCGTATGCGTTCTGCTTGCACCGCTACCGGGTCTGGTTGCTTGTTGACTTCTTCAGGAGTAGCAGGAGCTGGTCCGTTGGTGACGATGTCGTTGTTCGCATCTTGCGCTTCGTTTGTTCCGCTCGCTGACTCTGATGTGTTGTCTGGAGGGGTTGGCGTCTCTTCTGGCTCCGTCTGTTCAACCTCCTGACTTCTCACGTCACCGTGGTTAGTGTGCCGTTGCACTTCGGGATCTTCGAACCTTACTCGCCGAGCTTGACTTCTGGTGACTGCAGTTACTTGAGGTGCTTCGGTGACCTCATCAGCACTTGAAGGTTTTGCTCGCTGAGTGGTTTCCGCTCGTTGAGTGTTCCGCTCTGCCTCCAGTGCGGCTTGCTCATCGACATACAGCACCTCTGGAATTCGATTGAGCGCTTTGAGCTTCGTCTTCCTTGTTTCGCTGAGTACCACCTTGGTGACCTGGGTTTCCAGAGCTTCCGTGGCCAGCGAGTCGGCAGATGCGTTATACATCCTTATGGCGTGCAGATAGCGGACTGAGTTGAGTTTCGTCGTGAGTTCCTTGTGATTCTCCAGCTCGACTTGCAGCGTCTCCTTCCGGCAGGCTATCACCCTCATGGATTGCTGGATTGCAAGCCTGGAATCGCCGACGATAATAAGATCGGTCACCCCGTGTTCAATCGCCGCCTTGACTCCGTTGTTTATGCCAGTATATTCGGCTAGATTACACCGTCGTCGATGGTAGGTGCACACTCGCAGCGATCACAATGCCCCAAGCCGGTAAGCGCCACAGGATCCACGAGCAGCTTCCATGTCCGCCATGCTTCTCTGTCTTCGCTGACCCATCGAATGATAGCACATGACCTTCATAGTCTCGAGGGATACTCGCGTAGAGCAAATGAGGAGCCAATCGCACGGTCGCCGACCCTTTCGAGGGCGGTGCAAGCGGGGCCACTGCTTCGTCGAGCGCCACAAAGGGTGTGATCGACGACTGCAGCAGCTTGGCGAATTCGATGTCACGCTCGCGGACTCGCTTGACCTTCAGGTGCCACTGCGACAGGAACACCGCGAATTGCACCGTCCTCCCGAATAACGACTTGGACTGGAACACCCACTCCAAAGCTGAGAACCTGGTGTAGACGTGCAGCGTCTTGCCGGATAGCAGCGTATAGCATACCTTGAGCGCCTGCAAGAGAGCCAACACCTCCTTTTCGGCAGGATGGTAGTTGAGCTCGTTCTCCTTGAGCACCCGGCCACAGAACCGCAACGGGTGGAGCAAGTCGTCATGCATTTGCATGAGCGTACTGCTCAATGCCCACTCGTTGGCGTACAACATGATGTAGACGTCCTTGGAGCCGTCGAAGTGCCGCAGGATCGGTGCCTCGACGACCTTCTGGCGTAACGCTGTAAAGGCATTGCGGGCAACGCTAAGGTCACCCCCCGGAGCGAAGTCGTCCTCCTTTATCTGGTACAACACAGCTCCGTACACAGCCAATCCTTGGATGAACCTCCCATAGTAGTTCAGGGCACCCAGGAACGCCTGCATTCCTTTCTTCGACGAGGGGAACGGGAGCTCAGCGATTGCCGCGAGCTTCTTTCCGTCTGCCTGGATTCCTTCGCCCGTGACAACATGCGACAAGAAATCCACTTTCGGCTGGACGAAGATGCTTTTTGTGAAGCTGACGCTGATCCTGCACTCGGCGAACCTCGACAGGAGTCGGTCTAGCGTCTTCAAGCACTCATCGAACGTCGACCCGCCGAAGCAAATGTCGTCGACGAATGACCGACGGTGGAAAACCGGGACCAGCTTATACTGGTCAGGTTCGCCGATCGAGAACATATCTGCATCCGGGCTGTTGACCAACTCCATCAGCGGGTCATTTCCGGCGAGGGCCAGGTGATCCGCTTCGTATTTCGACCGCAGGTCGCGTCGATCGACACTCGGCGACCTCTGCGACTTCACCACAAACTCCTTACGTAGAGCTTGAGCCTTAGCCTCTGCCTGCTTCATTCGATCGGCGAAAGCCTCCCAGCCACCTTTCGGTTGCACGTAGCCCCACAATGCGTTATCAATCAACCGCCGGTAGATCATCGGCGCGCTCTTCAAACCAAACGGCATGCGCAGCCACTCGAAGTGGCCAAGCGCGCAGACAAACGCCGACACCCGCAGAGCACGCATCGTCATCATGATCGCCCAGAAACCGCTGGGAGCATCCAGCGAACAAAACCACAAGTAGCTCTCCATTTCCGTGAGTAGACCGTCGACCAACGGCATCGCATACTCCATAATGAGCGTAATTGCGTTGACCATCTTGTAGTCGATGTATAACCGTATATCGAGGCCGTTCTTCTTGAGCACGATTACGATCGACGAGGCCCACGGGCTGGATGAGAACGCAATGAGTCCTGCCTCCAGCAGCCCTTTCAGCAGCTCATAGAGCTTCCGCAAGTATTTCAGCGGAATTCGCCGAGCTCTTTGCTTGATAGGGGCGTGTCCTTGAACATCAATGTCACACACCAAGCCATACGCAGGCGGCGGTAGTGCGTTACCACTGGCGATCATGATCTCTTCATGCCGGCGCAGTGTCTCGACGAGCTTGATCTGTCCAATTGGATCCAGTGAGGGGTTCTTCACATTTGGCGCATCATAGTCCAGGATCGTCGAGGCAGGCGCGGTCAAGTCCGGTAAGAATGCGAGCTCGTGTGCGTAATCTTCGAAGTGAATCTCGGTTGCTTCGTGCTCGAACTCGTCTCCATCCACACTGTCGTCATCTGCCATGAGAGCCTCCGCGGAGGCGATATAGCGAAGTCGTAGGTCGTCGAGCGGATTGTCGCTCATCGATTCTTCGATCTCGTCATCCATCTCTTGCAGCGCAGCCACGGTAGCATACACCGGTTCAGTCACACCTCCTGTTCCGTCGAGATAGACACCCTTGATGAGGTTTGGTCTGGCACTCAGTGTGCGCATCCCATCCGCTTGCTGTCGGAGCATGTTTATCAGGTGAGCGGTGTTATCATCGTCAGGCGAGAACCTTGGGTCTTCGCAGGCAACTTGGACTTCGATCGCCGACCGAATTTCACCAAGTTCACCTTCTTGAGGAGTGACGCGAGTCGCATAGTCTTGTTCCCCGGCGTCCATAGGACAGCTTACCACTGTCGCTTCCTCAGACTTGTCGCTTTCGCCACAATTCGACGAGATATCATCAGTCACCTCTGTCTCGCCGGCTCCGGTGTCGGATAGCTCGTCGAGTCGATTCCATTGTTCTTCGCAGGTAGGACCTCTTGGTGCATCGGCTGGTCGGCATCGAACTCCAGCAGGGGTTGCGTATTCCCGCTTCTCGACTGCTGGAGGTTGCTTCGCCGACCATTCGTCATAGAGGTGACGTTCGTGTTCCAGTAGATGCTTCGCCTTCGATGATCCATAAGCCAGTATTTGCCACTCACGATACCTCCTGGTGTGCAACTGCACGTATCCATCGCTGAGCGGCAGGTCCTCGTGCGGGATCCAAAACACGAACGGGAAGTGTGCCGGACAGGACACCGGTTTGTCCGTGCAGTTTGTCAATCTGACCCTCGTCGGCTTTCCCGACCTGCTGAAGACCACTGTCGGGAACGGATCTCTAGTTCGCCGAGCCCATAGATCGTGGGTCGCCCAGCTTGGTCGGTTCTTGGGCAACTTGAACTCAACTGTCTCGCCCGCCAGTACTTCCATCGTCTCCGGCGGGCTCCCAGCTACATGTTCCGCAGCGCTACGCTCGTCGACTTCCTTCTGCGACTTGACCAGCGGCACCACCACTTCCTCCGGTTCTTCATCGTCGATCGGAAGAGGTCCAGCCTGACACCGGCTGGAATCATGAAGTCGGTCCCAAGAATGACGTCCACCCCCGCGTAGTGAGGCATGATCCAGACTTCAAAATCGTAAACCAACTCCCAGCCCAGTGTCAGCTTGACCTTCGCACGTTCGTTTGTGTAGACCTTGTCCTTGGTAATTCCTTGTATGTCCAGCTGCATGTCCATGTTCACCCTTCGTCTCAGCCGTATTTTCTTAGCGAAAGATTCGCTGACCGCACTCACTTCGCGCCCGTGTCCAGCAAAATCTTCGTTCTTCTGTCGTTCACTGCTCCCATCACAAGTGCTCGCATCCGCTTTCGCCGATCGAACTGTTTCTGCGACCACCATCCTTGGCGCTCGCCCGCATGCAGCTTCATCACCTTGACTCGCGGGGTCGGCCTCGTCTCACGCAGCGTCGCACTTGTGATCATCCTGGTAGATTCGCCGACCTCCTGACTTGAATTCAGTATGGTTGGCTCGTCGACCGTGTTCAATTTTCCGTCGTTTCTCAACTCCATGTCCGTCGCATTGTCCTTTCCCAGCCATTTGCTCAGCCGAACAAAGGCAAACACGAAGTTTGCCTCGATCGCCGGCTCAGACAACTGTGGCCGCCCGTCATTGCCCAACCCAGTTATAGTTGGCGGGCGCGTTCGTTTAAATTGCTGGAAAATATGCCTTGGAGCTCAGACGGAAGGGAGTCCTTGTCGTGCTTCGACTTCAGGACCTTCACAGCCTCCTCGTAGAGCATGTGGTGCTCGCACTGGCCGGCACCATGCACCTGCGTGCAAAACTGGCACCGCCGGAAGCACTTGTGCACCGAGTGACGCGGGTCGCCACAGGTAGTGCACGGCCCATACTCCGGAAGACCTCGGCGTTCTTAGTCGTTCCACCGGCTTCGGCGGCCTTCGTCTCTACGCCCGTCGCCCGATACATTCGCGCGACTTTGACCGTCTGATCGCTGAGTTGCGACACTCCGGCTCGTCTCAGCCACGTCCATGTGATCACGATCTGATTCATACTTGGAATTGTATGAGCGGTCGGAATGATTGCTGCTCTCCGAGTAACCATCTGAGTCGACTCGGCGACGAGGCGTGAAAGACATGCGGTCTTGCCAGGCGTCATAGAGCTCGTCGACCGACGCACTTGCGACGGTGACTCGACGATCGTAGCGACCTTCACGTCGGCTGCGGCTGTCACCTCGGCGATCGTCCCGGTCGTTCCGACGGTCGTCACGTCTAGCGCTGTCGGTCCGTCGGCCCCCATCGCGTGATGGTTTACGCGTGCTGCCCTTGCCTTTGCGGCGTCGGTCAGCGGCCATCGTGTCGTTGGTCACAGCTTCCACCTTGGCAATGTTGTCAAATCGTTGAGGGATTAACTGTCGGACCAGCGCATCATCTTCACAAGTGTCGAGGAAGCGCTTGACGTGCCTCGCGCCGACGGTGCCGCCCGCTTCATACGTGATTTTCGCCGAGCGAGCGTACCCATTCAGGCGCAGCAGGTAGTCGCAAATGTGCTCCCCCTCGTCCCGCGTGGCGGTGTAATATCGGTCTTCGGCGGATTGGTCGTGCTGCGAGCAGTAGTACGCCATGAACGCCTCGCACAGCAGTGACCACCTGTTGCGCGTCTTCTTCGGGAGCTGGCGAACCCAGTTGCTGGCTCCACTCTCCATGAGGAGCTGAAACGGCTCACACCAGCGGTCCTGCGGGGTGTTGGTCCCTTCCATCTTGTAGATGAACTTCTTGCGCCACCGCAGCGATCGCTCACTGCGGTTTCGAGTCTCGGAGAACTTCGTCAACTTGTTCAGCGAGATGTGGTGCGTCAGCTTAACTCGCTGAGCCCCGTCTTCGTCTTCACGCTGGTACGATCGCCGAATCTGCGCCGTCAGGTCTTCGCACGGGTTAGCGAAGTCGTAGCCCGTGTCATCGTCGTCGTCATCATCATCGCCGAGCGCGGGAAGGTTAAATCGCCGACCGTCACTATTCTTCTTCGGCGTCACCATGTGCGAGTCTGCGAAGTACGGGGAGGCGGGCGTCTTGCTGAAGACCTGCTTGGTGTCCGGCGTCTGCATCTGGTAGCCTGTGGAGGCTTTCCGCGGCGTCGTCGGCAGCGGAACCAGACTCGGGTCGACGTCGTCCAGCTTCTGCACCGTCGTCGTCCCACGCACTCCGACCGAGTCCTTCAGCTTGCGCTTCCACTTGGTGAGTTCGGCGCTTACTTCGGCGAGCTCCCAGACTTCCAAAGCCACCTTCGACGGGACGCTGGTGCACTCGAAGCCCATTGCCACCAGCAGGCGCTTGGTCTGCTCGCTGAGTTGGAACAGGCTGGAGCTGTCGATCGGAGACGCCAGCTCCCTCTCGAGCGTCACCCACTTGGCACCGCCGACTTCTCTCGGCGCGAACATCATCACCCACGCGCTTGTAGCAACCATCGATCGGCCGACTTGCCCCAGTATCTTGTACGCATCCGGAGTATCTCCGTTCACCGGCGGTCGACTTCCCGTGGTCGGTCGCTCGTCGGGCGCCAGAACCTTGGCCGGAGTAACTTCGCCGAGCTCCGCATCAAGTCGGCGAGCGATCGGGCGCGGTGCACCCGACTTCCCGACGACAACCGTTAGCTCGTCGACGTCTTCATCCTCCAGCATCGGCGCCGGGCCCTTCATCTCCACTTCATCTTCACTTCCATCATCATCAACCCCACTTCTATGGTCACGATCGCCGACCCGGTCGAACTTCACAGACCGCGGCGTGCTGGCCGTCGCCTTCGTCGCCGCGTCCGCGCTTCTCGGCCGCGCGCTTGACCTCCCTCCGGCCGTCGCCGGACTTCCGCTTCGCGCACTTGTCGGTGTCTTGACCATCTTCACTTGCTTGCTTGTTGACTTGAAAGGTACCTAAGTGCCACAAACACCCTGTTCCCGGGTCGCTGCACCAGTTGTGGTGTAGCAGACGTGCCAAAACTCGTTAGCTTCCCACTCCCACACCAACAACACCTACACTAACGGGAGCGCAGGCTTGTCAGGTAATCCGAAGATCGCCCAGTCCGTTTACAGCGGTGCGGTGGTTACCCAGGCACCTGCCATACGTCCCAGGAGCCGTGCCACGAGCACACAGCACGCTCCCTTCCTTCGCCGACCTCTCCTTGTCGCTTCTTCTCTTTCTCCTTCTCTCCTTGACCCGTGCCCTCCACCAAAGGATGGACGGCGGCTCTCGCCTTTTACGGGGCGCCGATGCAAAACCGCACCGGCTGAGTCGGGGGCGGGCCGAAAACCCGCGCTCGTACGCTCGACGAGCTCTTCGCCAGGGGCGGAATCCAGATAACCACTACACGCACTCGCTCTTGGACTCGCCGGGCGGCCGAGAACACTTCCGTCACTTCAGAGAGCCGATCTCAGCGGTGGTCATGATCTAGCCCCACGGGGGCGGTCGTACCTTGAAGAGACGCCGCGTGCCGCTTGTTTAGGACCTCGAAAATTCCACTCTGTATTTATCTTTGCTTTGTTGGGCTCAAAGGCCCTTTCCTGGGGTTCCTATACAAGTATCTAATGAAAATGGGCTGTTACGGCCTCTCCAATACTAAAATCAAGTCTGCTCGCTCGCCGACTCTTCGCTCAACGACCCTTGAGATCTTTGGGATCCAGCGTCGGTGAAACTCCTCCAGTCGGTGTCTGGTGTACACACTCGGTCCGGACTGACTGCAACCACCGACCTGCGGACTCAGAAATCGCTATACCACACAAGCATCTAGCATCCAGTACGAAGTCTAGGCGAACTGGAGGTGCAGAGGTTCCTCGGCGCAAACGTGATACTTAAGTATTGAAATCGTCGTGACCACAAAGCTGCTGCATTCGTTCGTTCTGTTAAGCGTCTTGGTGAAGATACGACCAAGAAGATTCAAGCTGACTGCTAGAAGCTAGCGCCTACTACAGCAGCAGTGGCGTCGGGCACGCAAAGTTGCGAACTCTGCAGCTCTGTGCAACTCGATAGTCGATACTACCAGAGATACATAGCATCGATACAAACATGCAGCACTTGAATTTACTGAATATACCGGTTGCTTATGACAGCTGGCGGGGCAAGCGGGGACCCCGGGGTCCCGCCAAACGCTTCATATGCATACACACGATACACAACAACCTAACCATCGAAGACGCACAGTCGCTACCGATCCGTATTGAATTGAGCTAATTTTGCTATGCCTATTTGAACTGTTATCGCGCAAACCAGCATTACTACATGTAGCGCGGTGCAGTGCGTAAATTCATGCTGGCAAAGTTGCAGTCTTTCAGTGCTAACGTAGTAACAACACTAGAGTACGGTATCGACGACAGCTACCAGTTTGTAACGCAGTATAAACCACACCCAATCATAGTTTCAATAGTTATTACTTCAAAGTAAGTAAACACGCAGGTCACTACACTGTAGTAAGGCATGTCCGTGACAATGTAGCTCGCCTCGCAGAAACGGGTGATCAATATACAACGGCAACGATATTCAGCTCACCCGATGTTTAGGTACTCAACTTTGCATCGTGAGCGACATTTGGTATTTAGCTTAATAGGAAAATGCAATCCTACTCATTTGCTACTAAAGCACGAAGTTATAGCAACGAATATGTGTCAACTGTATCCGCACATTATTGTTATGGAAATCAAAATGATGCATATACTTTTAAGCTATGCTATTCCAGCAACCCGTGGTCAAAGAGCCCGCATAGCGGGTGCCCAGAGCGCTAGTCCTATACAACTAACAGAGTATCGTGTCAGTCTGTCTGTAAGTCCGTCCGTTCCCTGTCTTCGGGGCTTAGCCTGTCGTTGAGCATCGTCCGACCGCCCTGTAATTGACGCATTAGTAACCTGCCCTATGGCATCCCACCATCATCCCGACTGGCTTATCTTTGCCCGATATTACAAAAATAGCCGTGCGTGACAAGAATCACTAGCCTTGATGTTGCCGCCTTGATGTGGCACACACAAACCAGCTGATTTCACATTTCCGTTTTTGAATTACGCGCTCGGACGTCGGGCGCCGCTGCACGCGAGCGCCGCACACGGACAGAGGTACGCTTAGCTACATAGTTTCCTAACTGTAATAGAAGTGTCAGTTTCGGGAGTACGAATTCAACTAAGTCCGACTAGCTGCCGAGCGCAGCGAAGGCGGCACCCGCGTGTGTTATAGCGGGCCGTCCGGCCCGCCCAACTACAAAGTTGCTAATACTGCGAGTAGTGCATCAAGCCGACGAGGCGAGCGGAACGGGGTATAAGATCACCCCCGCTTTGATCAATACTATGTGAAGAGGCCACATTATCGCAGGCCGCACTTCACTGGTATGGATCATTGAAAATTCCGATGTGATGTTACCCGATATGTATATGTACACGGTACTTTTGAACGGAAGCACTAAGTATATCCTAAGGAGAGGCATAGCGAAGCGTGAATGGTTATTTAGGCTTATACAGGCTATACGCTTGGAACCAACAGAAACCATGGCAGAGTGATACACTTGGTAAAATAACGCGTATAGAGACTTACGTGAGCACACTAAACACGGGTTGTTTTAGATATGTACTTTGCAGATACGTTGAAGGTTGGGTTGAATAACCGCTACGATGTGGACAGGGTTTACGACACATGACCGTGCGATAGAGAATGCTTTATATTGCAACGTGCATCTACTTACAGTAACTCTGACGTGAAGCTGATACCATACTAAGAGACCCCCAACATACAAACACCTTTTTACATGCATACAATCTAAACTAACGACATTTGCCTGGAAAATAGCCCACCGGAGCGAAGCGGAGGTGGGCGGCCCTTACTACTACGCCTAACCACATAACTACCGCCCGCGAAGCGGGCGGCGCTCGGCTAGTCCTAAGAATCAATCAGAAAGACGCGCTGTCCGTCCGTCACAAAATCGCCACGCTTATTCACAAAGCACGATTCCCACTAAGTCCGAATTGCTGCCGAGCGCAGCGAAGGCGACCCCCTCATACGATATTGCGGGGCCGCAGGACCCGCCCCGGCCTCTGTATTACTATCCTGACATTGAGAGTAGTGCAGCAAGCCGACGAGGCGAGCGGAACGGGTCCACTACTGCCGTAGCGAAGCGTAGCAACTAACAAAAAATTCACCGCCGCGTAGCGGCGGCGCTCGGCTAGTTGCACGCAGACGCAGACTGCGACACGAGCCTTCACAAGTAAGCGTGTGGGGCCAATAGCGGCGGCGGTGGCGCAGTTCGCCTGCTGTGCGTGGTCTCCTGTTAAAGCAACCAAGCACCAAAACGGCTCCGATTTATAAAGGTGTCCTTTCCGAAAGGTCACCTCCTATCGGCTATAAATCGGCTATAGATCGAGGTTTATTCTATTCTGGGGCTCTGGTTCAGCTTCCGCAGAATCCCTCTCATCGGTTATAGATCGACGCTGTATTCTATCTGGAGGCAACTTCATGTTCCAGAGGTTACACGAAAGTTCCAGGTAGGGAGAGAGTTCCAGCGAAGGACAAGCCGGGTTACAGTGTCTGGATGGGCGGGTGACCACGCATGCAAGTGTGGGTGATACAAGACTCACCAGTGGGTTTCCGCAGCGGAAGGTCTTTGAAGGTAGGGGATCAGTTTTGTGCATCGTAGCGCTCTTTGCACCTCCCGAGACGAACTTCCAGCACAGGCCGCCAGCATGCCCGCTTTTCTCGACATGATGGCGAACCCCCCGTCGCGCGTCAACCAAAAAGCGCGATTCTTCGACAAGAAACAAGTTCGACGAGTTCCTGAAGGCCCACTTTGAAGTGGAGTCAGTGCACACGTCCGACAAGCCCCCTCCCGACAAGGATCAGAAGAATGCTGCTCCGACATTCGATACGCTGCCGTCTACCGCAGTAACACAAGAACTAATAGGATCCTTCGCTTCCTATCTCTTCGAGAGCGTCAAGTACAACACAGCAGTGACTCGCTTGGGTAGTCTGCGTCGTCAACTAGAGGAGAAGTACAAGACTGACATCTTTTCAGGATCCAACTGGTACGCACAACTCAGAAAAACGATGAAAGCTCACTATGTGGAGCGGAACCGTTTGCTTGGCGAGAAGTTGGAGGCATCTGTACCAGCGATGACCCGAGACGACTTACAGACGATCAGCATGACATTATTTTCGCGAGACACACCGACTGATCTTCGCAATAGGACGTTGATTCTGGCAGTGGTCTGCAATGGGGAGAAGCAGTGATATCACGTGGTTGACGTTTGGAGATCTGAAGTGGTCTTGTTTTGGATATTACACGGATCAAGACAAGCAGTGAGCAGTCACTTCGACTCGTGTGCTCTCCGCTTTCTTGGGAGTGTGATGCTGTGCATGCACTAGCGTCGCAATTAGCCGTGGACCCGTACACATGTTCGAACCGATTGTTTCCCCAGATAATGGGGTGGCGCACATCAACGCTGTGCTCACTGGTGTGGCTGGAGAGCTACAACCCGGAGCGATAACGGATGCACTCAAGTCACACTCAAGTCGCCGTGGGGCAGCTACCGTAGCTTCGGCTACTCGAGGCGTTGGCCTTCACGATATTGCGAGCCGTGGTCACTGGGCAAGCGCTTCCAGCAGCTCAAAGACCGTGTTTACCTACATTGACGCTACTGCTGCTAGTGACCTCTTGGTTGCTGGTGTTTTAGCGGGGTGGAAGGACATTGATCACGATGTAATTCACCCTACTCTTGACGACACTGCGGATAGAATCACGGGTGTTGATTTGAGAGAAAACCAGAAACGTTTTGCAGTGGCTCTGTTTGAGACGTTTATTACTCGTTTAAAGACGAAGCGTTTGGTGTACTCGCTGGCTGCAGTGGTAATCTTGTACTACCACGACACTTCATTGGTTTTCCCGGACCATACACTTCACTCTCGAATGAAAACGGCAGTACGAGTTGCGATTCCCGAGCTACCAGACGGAGAGGAAGGGCCAGTGCCATTAAAGTGGAGCTTGGAAATGCGCAAGGAGTTCATTTGTGCAAACGCCGTTGGTCTTCCCCCGGATGTGGTTCAAGGAAAACGCACAGAAGATGAAAAGGCAGCTAGCACAGTCAGTATCAACACTTTCAAGGGCACGCTTGAAAAACTACTTTCGACTAATCAGCTCATCCTCAAGTCGCTGCAGGAAGTGGAGTGTGCGCAGTCCGCCCTTCTAGTCCGCATGGGAAAGTTGGAGCGAAGCATGGAGAAACTCAGCCTAACGAAATCACCAGCACCTCCGAAAAAGGCTAGTGTCCAAATGCCTCTCAAATGGTATGCCTCGATGTCTATTCCAAACGACAAGCAAGGGTCATCACAACGAGAGTGCCGCCGAGCAATTGAGATTGCCCTGAACCACGTCCAGCCCGACGAACGGCCTGTTCCGCTTGAGAGCATGAAAACAGACGAACAACGAAGCGCTTGGAACGAGAACGCCCGCGCACTGGCTGATCGAGTGACCGAACGGGTGTCTTCCATCTTGGTTGCGAGTGCAGCCAAGACAGATGAGGAAGGACAACCGGCAAAAACGCCGAAACTCAAGGTTCATGTCAGTGCGATAGTCCGTGAGTACTATCAGCAAAACAGCAAGCGTGACCACAAGCGCAAGAAGGGACACAACAGTTCGTGAGCGCTCTCTCGGTCCAACTCTATCTCTAACATAATCTTCTGTGCCGGTGCAGCTCTGTTTCACAAGCTATTCCGTGCCATTAACACTTCCAGTAATAAAAAATGAATTGACCGCGATCTTCTGTTCACAAGGTCCTTCACACCGTTCCAGCGTTGGCTTTGCTGATGACACGATGTCACGCCCAGCGAGCGTGTGATGGCGCCAACGACGGTCGAGATCACGTACAGGAGCATGCCACCCCGCTGGGGTGGAGCCATGTGGTCATCGTGGCGATCTTGGCCATGTTGGCCAGGTATTTGTTGATCAATGGGTGGCCTAGCCTACCGAAACGTTGGTGGCAAACGACAAAAGTCAAGGCCGTCGGGGGTGGTACCGTGTACCGAGCTGGCCCAAAGCGGAAACGGCCGGGATGATACAACTCCTCTCTATGAAAAAAAGCATGCGGTCCCCGCAGGCATAGCGGCATTTTCCGCCGGGCGGAAAAAGCTGCGGACCGCGCACGAGATACTGGTCTGGCTGGCGGCGTCGGCGCTGGGCTCACAATCGATTTCGCTGGCGCGGGAGCCGATGGACGTGAACGCGCTGCTGAACGAGCAACAAGATGACCCCCCCATCGCGTCACCGTCGAGTCTCTGCTGAATGAGCTGCCCGGCGGCATCGCGTCCTGGTCGGACGAGCGACCTGCCGGTGGTGAGCCTCCGCTGCACGAGCAGTCAGTCGCCGTCGACAACAACGGCGACGTCGAGATGGACGCCCCCATCGCCAGAGCTCAGGATCGAGTCCAGACCTCCGACGAGGTGTTCAACGACGCTCTCATGATGCAATGCGCTCACAGAGATCGCCTGAGCGAACCTCTGCCCTCCCCGCGATGCCTCAACTCCCAGCTCGATCCGTCCCGTGCGTGCCCGTCCCAAACTCAGGCTCCCCTGCCTCCGCAGTGAGAACGGCAGGCTCGTCGCCCAAGGCCATGAGTGTTGACGGAGAGGAGAAGGAGCCCGGGGAAAAGAAGGAGACTGAGTCCTTGGAAGACGCTACAGTATCGAGGCTGCTGTGCAGGCGGAGCTCGACAAAATAAGGGGCAGCAAGCTGGAGAGCGCGCCGCCAACGCAATCATCTTTATCGAGCTCAACACGAATGGCAAGAAGGGCAACACCCCAATCCCCATGATTGCGGGGATATATTGTACTGGCCATAATAGTTGAAGCCGGAGTTCGGAGTCATTTTTCTTCCAGAAGATGGTAACTTTCCATATACGATAGTTAGATATAAGGGGTAATTTTCGCCGTAGATTCCGATTCTGCTGTCAGATTTGACGAATTCGGACTCTTTGGTCGCGTAATTAAGCCTTGAAAACATGACCTCAATTGCTCAAAAGTTTGGGAAAAGGGCTCAAGTAGGGTAAGCCAATGACAAACCCCAGGACATGAACACTATTGGCTTAAACGGCAAACCATACGCCAAAACAGACGGTGGTTAGGTGAATTGACTGCTCTTGTTCACATTCGCCCTGAGATTGCCAACTTGCGCTTTGAAACATACCGCCGTGTTTGTATAGGATTTGTATTTGATTTGACAAGCATGGATAGACTCTTTTACCTTGCTGTGTTTCGGTAGTCACTATTTCGGGAGAAAATACAAGTTTAAACAGGTAATTGATATGTACCGTTAAGTATCCGAAGGATGCCTCGGCGACGACTTCGAGGAAGTTTGCTGGACTTGGTACGCGCTCCTGACGCGAAACGCCCTGCTCACATCGGGCCCAATACACTTCACTTCCACTTCGCGCGCTTACCGCATCGTCTTAGGCTTTCCTTTCATTGTTAGGCTCGAAGATTCATTCATAGTGATTATGTCAACTCCCTCATCGGCATTTACTTTCAGGCCAATATCCATTCGTTAGGCCCTGGTGCCTTGCGCTACACTCTTGTTGTGCGTAGTTGAGATAACTGCTCTTCTTTTAACACAGATTATTTACTGGAAGGTCACTTCAAATTATGCTGGTTTCATCAAAATTAAATCCGGTGGGGGGTGGCTGCTAGAGCAACGTTGGCGCTAGTGTTGCCGCAATATCTCTCGTTGCCTGTGCGCCAACACCTACCTGTAGATGGCCGAATTGAAGTCTTGCAGCCTCCTTGCGCGCATGTCGATGCCCTCAGCTCAAATCGAGACTGCTCTTCCCAAACCTCCGATTGAGCTTCACGCTCACTCAATTCCGAGCTCGTGCGACGCTCGGAACCCGGCACTACTGTGCATGTGCATGTATTCCTGGGCAAGCCTTGACACAGTATGCTGCTGCGAGTTGCATCCTGCAACGCGCCACCGTCCACCGAACCGTGGCCTCCTTCGCCACCACGGTCTTGCAACGAAGGAGATGACACGGGGGAGGAGAAGAGAAGCCCCAGACCTGAAGGCACGAAGCTCCTTTCGTCGACGTAAACCCTCTGTAGCCCGGGGGTGATTTCCCTTGCACTGCGTGTCAAACCGCGCCTTTAGTCGCGTCGCTGCCGCTTCAACGTTGAACGGGACGCGTGACGCGCAAACCGAAGTCGATCCATCGATCGGTCGATCATTTGACGGTCGTCCGCCCGCCCCGGATCGATCAACAAATGCAGTACATGTAATAAACATTTCGTTTGGATGTGTTGCGAGGTTAACGGAGAGACTAGGAGGAGAGGAGTATGGAGGAATCGTCAAAAGACGAAGTGAGTTAGATTAGAGATGGCGCACTGCCAGCAGCAGAGTTTAGATGGTTGGTTCTAGCAAAACTACACTGGTACAGACTATACAGCATAGTTGCTCCTTGACTAACAGCTTTGCAGCTTTGCATATGATTGGCACATACCCGAAGGCATGCAATATTTCAGGTATCTCGAGAATCTCGTTGCAAACGCCTCAGTCTTCAAAGAGTCGTCTACCAAGGAAGCCCCTGAGCTAGCTGCTCCGACTTAACCCACTCAGCCCTGCTGTGTTGGGAAGAAGGACTTAACGGGCAGGCCATGGCAACACTCTCGAAGACAGCGCAGTCAGCAGCACTGGTGCCGGGAACACCGTCCTCAGCGCCAAAAGGCCTGGAGAAAAGAAAGCTCGGCACTGCAGCCAAGATTCGAGAGCGCAAGCGGAAGCGGGCAGCAGCTCGCAAGGAGAACCAAGGTGCTGGTGCCAAGTCCAGCGTGGAGGCAGCGACAACGACGACCGGAGGGTGTGAGGCCGCGGGGGCCGGGGTGAAGAAGGCCGCGGGGGCCAAGGAGAATAAGCTGAAGAAGGCCGCTGGAACCAAAGCGAGGAAGGCTGTTGGTGGGCCGCTCGCAGAGGCCCTCCAAGCAGCCATGACCGAGGCTGCTGCAGAGTCTTTGGAGACAGCGCCCGCAGCAAGCAGTGTTGCGCCGTGCGACTCGCGCAGTGGTGCTGGAGCGCCGTGCGACTCGCGCAGTGGTGCTGGAGCGCCGGCTAGTACGTCGAGGGAGCATGTAGCCGCTGCCACGGCACATTGTTCTCATGGCATTATACCGGGGGACCTTAGTGATATGGGTTCAACATCTCGCACCACCGACCAGGCTGCAGCTCAGATCTTGACGGAACTTGCAAGCCGTGCTGTCGATGGAGGCGTGCATCACCCGGAGGTCAAGAGGGCTGCTGGTAGGACTGGCAAGGCGTCTCGTAGAGCCCAGACTGCTGCAACCGACCAGCGTGTCACGGCACGTACGCATGTACCTTGTGGCACCGAACAGTATGCAACCACCGAATGTGAAGATACAGTCATCGAACTGGGCACTTCTGACACCGATGGATCGTCAGATGGTGCCCAATATACGGTAAGTATTACAGCAGCAAGCAGGTGACGGTAACAGCGGACTATGCAGCTACGAAAACGACCTGGAGGGTGGTCCGTATCAACGACCGCCGCAATTCTCCTCGTGGTCCAGAGTACCGTGTGCTTTGGCTCAGTCGTCTGCTCGTCAACCGCCGCTACTATCAACGCACTTGGGAGCCTCTTCAGCAGCTTTTGGACGATGGCTTCGTCAACGAGGTGGACCTCGTGGATCGCTGGAAGGAGTCCAGCGAGGAGAACTTCAAGGACTTCTGACCCAAGGACGAGTTTGGCAAGCGTGCAATTGGTGCTGACGCTCGTGGCCTGTGCATGTTCAATGCACTGAAGCGTGCGGCCGAGCTTGCTGGACGCCCGGACATCGTCACGCAAGATGATATCGACACCTTTGTGGCTGATGAACTCCGAGAGCATGGAGTGGACCTCACAGTGGGCATTTCGTGGAAGGTGGTGCTACGGTTCCTGCGCCGCCTGAGGGATGCTGGCCGGGATTTCATCTTCAAGGCTATCGACAAGGACAACTTCACTATTGCTGGACGGCGTGGAGCACGTGTGCTGGAGGAAGTGCCTCTCTACAACGGACTTTACTTCGTTGTTGCCTACAACCACAGTCTAGTGGGGCACGCGTTCGGCTTAGCGTCCAAGGGAAGAAGGGCAGGGTTCGGTGCATCTACGACTTAAAGGAGCCCAAGCCAGTGGCGTCGGCGACGGACTGGATTACCTTCGTGGCCTGTATTCGACCTTTCATTGTCTTTAAGAAAAAGTAGGTAATTAGGAACCACGTTTTCCTTATCGAAAATACATTTCCCAGTAAAAACAAATTGTGTCTGCATGGATATAGGGAGTCATATGCCTAATATAATTCGGAACAAAACCAGGGAAACCTCAGTGAGGAGAAAACTTTTGAGCGAAAAAAAGATAAAACTCAGTGGGAAAAAACTAAAGGAACGCAATTGAGTAGGCACGCTTCATGCATTAGTGTTATTCTCGTACACTCTACGGAATGGCTAATTAAGCGTCAAGGGATTCCATCCTGAGCTTTGCCGTTAGTTCTCTAAACGGATGTTTGTCTAAAGCTTTAGTAAATATATCAGCAGCCATAGTTTTGGTATTGCAGTAGGCGACGGAGAACTCGTGTCGCTCGACTTTTTCCTGCACAAAACAGTATCGAACATGAATGTGCTTCGACCTCCTGTGTAGTTCTGGGTTATAGCAGATCTTAATGCAGCTTTGGTTGTCCTCATGAATAACATTTGCTTGCGTTGTGCCAAAACCTAACTATTTAACGAACAGTTTGAGGAAAATCATCTCTTGCATGCAGTGACACAGAGCGATGTACTCTGCCTCTGTTGTAGAGAGAACCACCGTGTGGTGTTTGCGCGAAAGCCATGAGATAGGACTGTTCGCAAGCATAGTCACATATCCACCGACAGACCGTCTCGTGTCGGGGCAGTTGGCATAATCAGAGTCGCTGTAAGCTGTCAGCTTGTCGCCCAGGTTCTCGGGTGTGACATCGAGAGATCCACCAAGGAGAAGACCGTAGTCCTTAGTCCCTAATAGATATTTCAGACCTCTAACTACTGCTTCCCGTGCTCCATTCCCGGATTAGCTAGGAATTGGCTGGCCTCACGCATGTAGAATGCCAGGTCGGGTCTCGTACCTACCATGAGATACATGATACTACCAACGGCTTCGCGATACGGAATATCTTTCATCGCGTCTTTCTCTGCCTCACTATTAGGCTGGCTGCTTACGGAGAGTTTAAAGTTTTGATCTGCTGGGGTTGCTATAGGGTACGGAATGTAGTCGCTGAAGCGGTCAAGGACCTTCGTAGCGTATTTGTGTTGGTGGATAAAGATCGTTTGGTTCTTACGGTCACGTTGAATAGACCAGCCGAGTAAGTACTTCACCTCCCCTAAATCTGTCATGGAGAACCGCTTTTTCAGGGCGAATTTCAACTCGTTTACGAGGGCTGGTGTAGGCGCAATGATCAGGAGGTCGTCAACATACACAGCAATGTAGCATGTAACACCATTAACCGTGCGTTTGAACACACAGCTGTCCTTAATGAGTTTGTGGAACCCTAGGCTTTCAAGGAAGGCATACAACGTGTTGTACCATACACGGGGAGCTTGTTTCAATCCGTACAGCTCTTTAGGAGTTTGCACACTAGGTGCTCCTTACCGGGGACTTAAAAACCTTCCGGCTGAGCCATGTAGATCTCCTCCTCTAGCAAACCATTGAGAAATGCTGTCTTTACGTCCATTTGGTGGATTTCAAGATCAAGCAACGCTGCAATGGTCAGAAGGAGTGTGAGTACCTCCATCCTCATAACAGGTGAGAAAATCTCGTTGTAATCAATGCCATGTTCCTGAAGGAATCCTTTGATCACTAGACGCGCTTTGAAGCGGTCAATTTCGCCTGTACCGGTATATTTTACTACAAAGACCCATCGGCAGTTTAAAATCTTCCTTCCTTTCGGAGGGGGTACCAGAACCCAAGTTTGGTTGTCCATGTGGGACTTGTATTCTGCTTTAGCTGCTTTACGCCACCGATTAGCGTGAGCCGATTTCATAGCCGCTCGATACGTGGTGGGTTCGGTTACATACCGAATAGCTAGTAGTGTATAGAGCAGTTTTCTACGTTGCTCCTGCTCCTGTAAATCTTCCTCAGAATTGTGGGTTACTTCCGTGTCATCGGTCATGACACGGGGACGCTTAGGAGTAGGAGGCGATAGAGTTTCAGAGGATGTCTCTGTTCGGAACGAGTAATGCATCTGTGTCCTGTCGAGCGCCTCCCTAAGGGGTGGGAGCTGACGCTTAGCTGCAGGTGATGTCGTTGCAGGTACAGGTTCAATCGATTCCGTGGGGACACGCTTATCTGACTCGATCGCAGGCTGTTCTGGTGTTTCCGTCAGGTTAGCCAGGGAAGGATACTTGTCTTCCTTAAATATGACATATCGGCTGTAGACAATGACATGGGAGTTGAGATCCATTAAGCGATAGCCCTTCTTGTGGTCGGGAACGCCTAGATACATGCACAGCCGTGCTCGAGCATCGAGCTTGTCGCGGTATTGCTCTGTAATATGAACGTACGCGCTACACCCAAACACCACACCTTCATGTACTGCATGGATGGAATGCGGTTGTACCAGAGCTCATAGGGTGTACGGCCGTTAGTCTTTGAGCTAGGGGTCATGTTGACCAAGGTCGTAACATGACAGACACACTCTGCCCAGAGTTGCTTCGGGAGTTTACCGTCAAGCAGTAGGGCCCGTACCCGTTCTCATGCGACGTTCCGCAACTCCGTTCTGTTGCGGAGTGTACGCGTTTGTGAATTGTGCGTGTGTGCCGTACTTCCTGAAGATTTCACGTCCAAGCTTTTCGTATTCCTTGGCATTATCTGCCTGGAGAACCTGGATGTCGTGTTCTTCGATAGCACACGGACGCCACTCAAGCACACTGATGTCGTGTCTAAAGATGTTCAGGGCTTTCTTCCTGAAGTCTTCATAGCATTCATAGAGCTGACTCCGGTTTTTCATCGGATATGTGAACATGAATCGAGAATAATCATCGGTAAAGATCACGAAGTAACGGCAACAAGTAAGGCTAGGCACAAAAAAAGTCTGTATGAACCTTTTCCAATGGTGCTGTGGCACGGTCAACTACTCTATTCGAATAGAAGGGCGAGCGGTGAGACTTCGCTAGCGTGCATGCCGTACAGAAGAACGGCTCCTTCGGGTTTACAGACGCAGTGCCGTCGAGTCCACGGATGGCTTGGCTCCTAGATAGATCATGCAAGATGCGAACGTTAGGATGCCCAAGATGTGTGTGTAAAAGCAGAAGAGAGCGTTGCTTACCCGACGTGGCAATGAGTGCCGATGCGCTCACCGCAGGTTTGGCCTGGAACTGATACAGATCCGTGTTCGTCGCCATTGGCGCCTTGATACTGAAGCGTTCATCAGTCTGCATGGCACACTTCTTGCGATCGAAGCTGAAGCGAAAGTCGTGCTTCACGGCAGCCGAGACTGAGAGTAAGCTGAAGTGCAGCTGTGGGGCGTAGAGGACGCCGTGAAGGATGAGCGTCTTCATGTTGCCTTTGGAGTCGATGCCTTCCAGCTCAACACGTCCAATACCCTCAATCGGGATTTGATTCTTTCCGCCGACGGTGATGGAACCACCACTGGCAGAGATGTTCGAGAACCACTGGTGTAACAGAGTTACACGCACAAGTGGCTACAGTCACTTGTAACTCTAACAGACACGACGTCTGTTAGAGGTTCGAAAGACTTTCTCGACCTTGGTGTAGATACACCAAATGCTACATACATTTACGACCACCACGACGGGTGGTACATAGAGACTGAGGCTTCCTATTGGCTGAGAGCAGCATCTCTTAGCCAATGAGCGACATGCATAGCATTGGAATTCTGCCAACCAGCCGTTGGCAGATTCCTATCTTACAATATTACATTTAGAGGAAGTCAGAAACATAAAACAAAAATAGCAGTTCTCATTTTAACCCAAAAACATTATTTGGATCGTTTATTTAGATTAATCTATACGAGTATAATTAACTCTAATTTAAACTAAGCTACGCTTCTTCACATACACGCGCACACGTGTAAGCTAAAGTAGTGAGCCAAAGTAGGCCCACTACACCTGGTAGCACTTTGTAGTCCGTCCAACGACCGACTACCTGAGTTCGTACGTCACCGCACGAACGCGGTGCTGAGAACCTTCCCATGGATACAGAGGTGCCCATGGAAAGCTCCACTACGCCTGCAACTCACGTTGCACGCGCTGACTGTCCCCACCTGTCGGATCCAGAGTGGGAGGCCCTCCAACGACTGTCAACAGTCATTGGTGAGGCGGCTGTAGCTACGATGCTGCGTACGCTAACGCCGGCAGAGCAACATGGTGTTGCTCTGGGTTTCATCCTGAAGGAGCAACGCGATGTTGCTGCTACTACCGCGGTGTCGTCCGGGACGACACCACGCGCGCAATCGCTAAAACTCAGTGTGAGTAACAATGTCGGAAGAGAGGGTGAACCTCTCCTCGGTTGGCTTGTCGAACTCGACACTGCCATTGCGGCTCGACGTATCGTCGACCCGTTGTCGAAGGTTGCGTTCGCCATGTCATGTCTTGGAGGACGTGCTCGTATGGACGTCGACTCTCGGATCCTACGTGCTTTAGCACGTACGAGGGTTTCAAGGAGGTGCTCAGACAAGCGTTTGAGCCCCCCAAAACGAGTTTCGGTCGAGGGCGGAGTTCTTTGACCTGCAGCAGGGCAAGCATGATGTCCATGCTTACGCTCAGAGAGCACGGTACTTGGTCTCGAACATCGTGACCAATCCGATCGACGAGGCGACCAAGGTCGTCACGTTCATGAAGGGGCTGAGAGATGGGCCTGCGAAAACCTATCTCTTCCGTGAGTACCCGAGTACTCTCGAAGCTGCAATTACTCTTGCAATGCAGGAGAAGTTTAGCCTGCGGCAGGCTAAGCTGCATGCACATGTGCCGAGGCCACAGCCACGCCCGGTAGTGAGGACGGGAGGCCCAGAACCCATGGACCTTTCGAGTGCTGCAACTGCTGGACCCCAGCAGTCGCAGGGAAACAATGTGCGATGCTACCGTTGCGGTAGAGTCGGTCACTTTACTCGGGAGTGCACGGCCCCCGTG